CTTTTTGAGTTAGATGAAATTAAAGATTTAGAATGGCGAGATATATTTGTTGGGTTGGTAGGTAATTCATATCGAATAAAAATGTGTAATACTATCATTTTCATGGTGAAGTATGTTACATTTATGTCAAGATCGGGGGGGGGGGGCGAGTACTAACTTTAGAAAAGATGAAAAAAAGCATTTGTAAGTATAGGGATGAGGAAAAGAAAATAGCAATTAAAATGGGAAAGCTGGGATCACATTTCTTAAAGTGGGAGCAACTTAAGGTTAATTAAGATTTGTTTTCTTCTCCACCGTGAGCCTGTTAAAAGCGTAACTCTATTTTGCGGCCTGGATAACTTATTTAGTATATTTTTCTTGAGTTGAGAATGTTGGCAGACATCCACTGAGTGAGTAGTGTGTGTGTGGGGGGGGGGGTGGGTGGGTGGGTGAGTATGTGTGATGGAGGGTGAGTATGTTTGTGTGATGGAGGGGACAGGGAGGGGTCAGGGAGGGGCAGTGGCGGATCCAGGGGGTCCGGGGGGCCCGGGCCCCCCCTGGATCCCCCTGAGAAAAAAAATCATGTAAAATCACGCGATTTTTACCTTTTTGGGGGGTGTGCAAATTTTAAAAATTTCGAGGACCAAAAAAAAAAAATGTGCTGCTCACTACCCCCCCCCCCCCCCCTACTGAGCGACTTTTCAGCTGGTTGAGTCGTTGCGATTTTTTTGGGGGGACTCCAAAAAAAAAAAAAAAAAAAAAAAAAAAAAGTGTCTTCCCCCCCCCCCCCCCCCCCCCCCCCCCCCACTGAGCGACTTTTCGGCCGGCGCGATTTTCAAATTTTTTCGGGAGCAAAAAAAAAAAAGTTGGGCCCCCTCCCCTAAGAAATCCTGGATCCGCGCCTGGGGAGGGGGCAGGATTGTTCCAGTAAAATTACCTCCAGATTTATTTAAGTTTTTTTTGTAATATATAAGTGAATAACATTTACAATTGACATATTATGTTTTGGTACTTATACGTTTACTTTGTTGCTAAGTTATATTATACTGCAAATAAGTTTGTGTTTAATTATGTTTATGTAAAAGCATCAATATTGAACACGTTTATTTTATTCAATGTATGTTATGGTTTGTATTACTCATTTGGAGAAATAAAAAAAAAAAAATTAAGTTTGTGTGTGTGTGTGTGTGTGTGTGTGTTGTGTGTTTGTGCGTGCGCGGTCGCGCGCGCTTGTGTAAATTAGTGTGGGCGTGTGCTCGTGCTAGTATGTGATGGCTATCGCCGATCATCCCCCCCCCCCCCCCCCACTCCTCGGTACAGATTTACGCCCCTGTTGGAGACTTTTCCAAGTGCGCTAAAAGTATGATGATTGGCTTATTAAAACAATAAGGTGCGGTCCGATTGGAGTAACTAAAATAACACTCTTGTTGCTGGGTGGTTCCACGGATGAAATTAACTAAAAGAATGTTTAGAATGTGCAGCTGTAGATTGTTATTGTTATTGAAGCTGGCTGAACGGAAAGTACTAACGAAAGGAATGCTCAAAATGCTGAGTATTTACAATGTTGATAAACATTTGTGACCTTAGAAAAGTTCAAGTCACTAAACCATTATAAAAATGCCCCTCCTCCTTTTTACCTCTGATAATTCTTCCTTCAACAATTTCTCCTCTTTTCCTTTGCAATAATTTCCCATTCTCATAAGAGCCTTTAATAATCTCTCACTATGAACTGGCCGGCCAAAATGACTTAAAATGATTCAATTCCAGCGAAATTTTCTTGAAACAGTCTACATTTTGTCGCGAAGAAACTGACTTATTCTGATCTTATGGCATTTTTTACAGAAGAAAATTTTAATAATGTTCGACTGTTCGTATACTACATGGGCCTATGACGAAGGTCGTGTGCCTTATTTTAGTCTGACAGTTTTATTACGGTCATAATTCAAAGCAACGCGACGAGAAACTATTTACTTATTACTATATCTTAATTTTGACTCTCGGTGGAATGCAGTGGTTCAGAAGACCCAACCACTGACTAGATTATGTTTTCATACCCGTTGCACTATCTATTGATTTTCCTTTCTCTCTTTCTAACGAATAGTTATACCAAAAACTCAAAATCATCAATATTAAATGTACTAAGTACTAATAAAAGATATTAATTAAACTTGCTTCCATATTAAGGTTGTTTATAAATATTGTAGTGCATGCATCTATGTGATGTTTCTTTCAAGGGTCTGGGCAAACAACTATATGCCTCGAAACCGCGAATTCCTCCTAATGGGCAAACAAGGTCACGCGCTGGCTGAGAGGTGAATATTACCAAATTATGATTGTTTAATCTTGCTTGAAATATGATTAAAATGGAAAATTTAAGGTGAAAACAAACTTCGAACGAAAGGAATCGACCAAAGTTAAGTCAGTTTTTTTGCATGGGGAAGATAGTCTCATGTCAAGACGTCGATTACTATGACCTAAGGAAAATGAGTACAACCTTACCAAACATTGTCATTCACTTGCGTTGTACAGAATAAAACAAGCCAACCACCTTACAGTAATTATACGAATGCATTCATTTCAAATTTTATAACGTATTTTCAGTCATACACTAATACCATAACATTGGAATAATTTCGTTACACTGACTAAGGTTGAAGAAAATTGAAGAAAAAAAAAAGTTTGTAAAGATTATTGTGGTTGGATTGTCATTATGAGGAAATTGATCATCAAACTGTTGAGAAAATAATAAGTGTTATCAAAGACTTTATGAACAACAGCGTATATCGCATGCTCATTATTTACAAACCGAAAATAATAAACGAGAAGCTCAAAAGAAAAGAAAATTTAATAAATGCATAGGGAAATATAGAAAAAGAAGATGAATCAAATGACAAGGCAAACAACAGAAAGAATAGAAAGAGAAAGAAGGGAGAAAGAAATAAATATATTAGGAAAGAGAGTAGATGAAAGAAGAGAAAACTCAGAAATACATCAGAAAAGACATAAAGAGAAAGAACGGACGAAACAAAGAAATAATACAATTATGGAAAGAGAGGTAGAGAAATGAGAGAAAAACATTGAAATATATAAGTAAAGAAAGAAACAGAAAAGCAAATATATACAATTATGGAGAAATAGAAGATGAAGGCCGTAACAAGAAAGAAATCCATTAATGGTAACACAAAAAGTGAAATAACGGGAAAACATTTTGTCGATAATGTTTGCTGAAGTACGTCGCTAATGTTTATGTGTAAAATGTGATTATGCAGTGCGTGTGCTTGTAAATTTGAACTTTTCTATCCGTGTCTGACTGACACATCTCATTTCTTATCCCCCGTTTATTTTCCAGTATATTTTCTGTCATTCCAAAAAAAATTACACCGGTATAGTGGTGAATTGATTGTGTATGTTTATTTTGGAGATCTAGATATAACAATTATATAGAATAGAATATATAATACCTGCCTTCTCGGCCCGATGATACATCTACTAAACTGACACTGAAATGAATACAAAGCAATAAGTTTGTTTACCACAATTGAAATGAACTTTCCTATGAAATAATGTTTCAGATATTCCAAGAAAGAAGAACGATCGCACTGATACAATTTCGATAAATATTTACTAAAAAATGGAAAATAAATCCAGTATTCAAGTCAAATAAAGACATGATTCCTCCTTTTCCATCCGCTATACTTTGTATAAGTGGGAATGGTCTAATTAAATATGGTGCCAAAAAATCCATCAAAGAATAACAAGTTACGTTGATTAAATTTCCTCATAACGGTACTTTAAAAAAAAAAAAAAACAATTGAAGAAACAAATTAATCACTCCAAATAAAAACCAGGTTCTCCCATCTCCTATTTACTATTTAGGCAACAATTTTTGGAATTTTCGTAATACCAGTTATTCTAAGTGTAAATCAAATTTGCTATTTATTTCTCAAATTCTGGAATAGGTACAGTTTGTGATTGAAATACATTCAACAATATAAAGGAGAATTGACTTAATTTTTTAGGTCATTCACTCGGCCCATGAATTTCAAAATTGTTTTGTTTACATTATAGGGTCGTTCAGACTTACATTAAAAAGTGAGATTTAAAAATCGATTTTTGCATCGCGATCCAAAATCTTTTTGTTAGTTTTTTGGACGGATTAATTTCACTAATCTTCGAGATTCGCATCGCTATCCAATTCGCAGTAATTCTTGGGATTTTTCACAATAATCGCGATAGTTTGCCGGGCGCTTTGTGTGTGATTGGTATCAGGCGCGTTGGGGGGGGGGGGGGGGGGGGTAAGGTCGCCTTTTTTAGGTCAGCCATGGAAATATTTTTTTAATTTTTTTTTTTTTTTTTTTATTATTAAAAAAACAAAAACAAAAACAAAACAAAGGGGGGGGGGGGGTTTATACACATAAAGATACCAAAGGGGTGGGGGTTTAACCCCCTAAACCCCCCCCCCCCCCCCCGCGTACGCGCCTGGTACACTGTATATTGATTTGTAAAATAGAACATATCCAAATTTGTTTAAATACACAAGGTATTCAAATCGCTTTTTTTAACAGCCTATAAAAGTCCAGGACATCCTTGAAACAGTGAAAAGAAGAAAATGGAATTGGCCGTAGGAAGGACAATCGCTGGAACTCAGCAATCACTCACTGGACACCATATGAGGGAAAACGAAACAGGGGACGTCAAAGAAAAAGATGGCGAGACGAGCTGCAACAGTACTGGTGAGAGACAAATTGGCACCAACAGGCAATGAACAGAGGCATTTGGAAAATGGCCTTCATCCTGCAGTGGATCGAAAATGGCTGAAAAATTAAGTAAGTAAAAGGTAATGGTATAACATTTATGGCAGGACAGATATTTACATGTACATGTCTGGTAAAAGACGGTAACAACAATAAAAGATTGTTCTTTAGATTTTATAATACTTTTTGTTCAGTTTGTATTAAATTTCAAATCCACTAGGGATTCCCAAAGAGAAGATAAGAGACAAATGAAATAAAACTAAATAATTTCCTTTTGTGAATGCATGTATTTTCATTTTGTTGATTATAATACTGTTTTCGTTAAATGAATAAGTTTTGATCTACACAGACGTCAGGTAATTCCATTATCACATTTCAATGACCAAAGCCATATAAGTCAAAGGACATTTTATCAGTTTTTTTAAATTAATGTCAAATACCCACGAACCCACTATGAAGCCTTGTGGAACACATTAATGTCTCATAACATAGAAATAAATACCGGTAAGCTGCATAATACGCTCCATGTGCATGTTCAATTCAATTCATATTTATTTCATTTCCAACAGAAAGATAAACAAAGGTATTACATTTTTTCATACATAATTCATTATTTCTTGGTAACTATACAAATACACTTTGCACATAATAAAATTACTACAAGAAATTATGATTTTCTAAAGAAACGGGGGGATCCACCAAAAAGCAGTGCTTGCAGTTTGTGGATCCCCCAGAAAAAAAAATATCCTTGTTTCAAATTGTGCCTACGAAGACTTGGAAAACAGAAAGACAATATTACAAAACAACAAACAGCCACGAAACGACAAGGAGAAGTAAAACCGATAAAAGATGATGGAAAAGGGAAAACGGGTGAAGAAGGAAGAAGCAGGACAAATCATGACCAAAGAAGAGGTAATTATATTTGTAATTCTGGGAAGGTAAGATCATAAGACCAAATAAATATTAAAATTAATCGAGCATATGATAAATAAAAATAAAGATGATTACCAACTGTTATCAGATTATTATTGTATGTTACTATAAGATTTGAGCAAAAATATTTTTAGTTTTTTCTTGAAAGAATTTAGGGATGGACTGATTTTAATACCTTCACTTAAAAAAATTCCAAATTCTAGGACCATCAAAATTCCAAAATGAAGTCACTTAAAAGATAAAGATGTACATTGCCAAAAAGAAATTCACCAATTACAAAGTGAGTGCCAACTTTACATTAAATTTTCAGGTTTAACCTTCGATCCTGATCAAGAATGTATTCTCCGTTTTGAATTTTCACAAAATAAAATTCAATTTTTCATAAATATTCCTGCATAATAACTTCTACTTTTATAATCAATAGTCATTGCATCTTATACATCCTGAAGAAGTACTTATACAGAGCCAGATTAAGACTGATTGTATCTAATCAAATCATAATATATGTGTATATCCCCAGATTCCGAAAAAGATCACAAGCGCATCTTATTTCTTTGTTATGGCTTCTTGTAAATCCTGCACAAGAGTGTTTAGCCCTGCCTGTGGCATATTCACTCTGAAACCTCTCATCACTCATCACCACTTTTTTCTTATATTTATATGGCAGGTTCGCTAGCCGGGGGACTAGGGAGTAGTACTGTAGTGTTCTAATTCAAGTTAACATCAAGATATAGTCGTTGTGTCTGTTGGTCAGATGACATCAAGACTCTCATCAAATGTTGATTGGGACTAAAGTCGATCTCTGGACCTCATCTAGGACTGGTTCAGATGACATCAAGACTTTCATCTAATGTTGATTGGGACTGTAGTCTCTGGACCTCAATTAGACTAGGACTGGTTCAGATGACATCGAGACTTTCATCTAATGTTGATCGAGACTGTAGTCTCTAGACCTTTTCTTGTCTTACTGGTCCAAGATGACTAAGAACTTGTGATACGCTTGCTGCAGATTTATCTGTGTATGTTGTTCAGATGACATCAAGACTTTCATCTAATGTTGATTGGGACTGTAGTCTCTGGACCTCTTCTTGTCCTACTGGTCCAAGATGTCTAAGAACTGGCGATACGCTAGCTGCAGATATATCTGTGTATGTTGTTCAGATGACATCAAGACTTTCATCTAATGTTGATTGGGACTGTAGTCTCTGGACCTCTTCTTGTCCTACAGGTCCAAGATGGCTAAGAACTTTATGATAAGCTTGCCTGCAGATACAGAAAATATCAAAAAGAAGGAGGAAAATTCATTATATTCTGTGACTTCACCACATGGGTAGTCATTTTAAAAAGAAATGTCAGGTTTGAAAGGGGATAGAAAAGAAGAAAGAAAAAAAAAAGAGTGAGAGAGATGTGTTCTTTCAGTTTCATTCTTAGGAAGGCTACTTGATATTGTAGGAATAGAGGGAGAGAAAATTAGGAGAGGTGTTCTTTTGAGAGTGGAGTCATGAAAAGGACTGGTGAAACAGCTTATGTATGCAAAGAGAGATCTAGGCTCGATGTCTTGAACAGGATGACTGTTTGTCATCAGGAGAATAAAAGCAAGAAATTGAACATAAATGTACCTTTCTTGTATTTGTATTTGCAATATTTGTTTGTTATATATTTGTAAAAATGCAAAAGAAAAAGAAAATCAAACAGAAATAAAAAAAATCAAATCAAATCAAATCAAATCAAATGTATCCAAAATACAACACTTTTATTATAGTAAACTAAAAAAGTACAACTGCGATTTGCATATTGTAAAGTTGAAGAAGAAACATCCATGTCATTGTGAAATAAATATCTAGTGTTCACTGCATGACTGGTTGGTTCATATTGTCCCTGTATCTAAGTTAATTGTGAAGCAAAAAGAGCTGACATTTCAGTAAAACACATTTAAAGATGAAGTTGAGTTCTGGTCATGCGATTGCATTGTGAAAGAAACGGTGTGGAATCGACCAGAAAAGGTTGATCATCTAGCATATAAGAATTTGTGTGTATTGCAAGGTTCTGGAATCATCAAAATGATAAGAAATTTGGCCAAGTCTTGGTAAAGTTACAATCACTGTACACAGAAAGATGTATATGGGACTACAGGAATACGTGGCGTAAAATTCCTACCCTGGATTTTTACGATGTTATATGACATATTTAGAATATGAAGGCATTTGAAGAGCCATGCTATTCAGGGAACATATCTTATCTGATGTTCTTCCACACTTGCATAATAATAATGATAGCGCTCACAAATTATTTTTCACCTCTCCCAGAACTCAACCTTCTCTTTAACGTAGTCCATCTTCATATATCCAAGCCATTGCGTAAATATGGGCTCCCTGGGACTAACTCAGCATGTCTGGGCTCGGTCACCACTGCTCATTTAGAAATACAGAATGTAAGATTACCAACTCAGATTACCTAAGCACTGTATCCACTCCAACTGCTCTACGATGCTCACATTCTTCAATTAATCTGGTAGCATCGGGTATAAGTCGAATCACAAGCTTTGGATGTAAGACAGCGAGAGACTCTAATCTTGCTAATGATGACTTACGATGATGATGGATGTGACGAGACAAGAAGCTTCTTACAACACTTACGAGCTCAAGTCTGAAAAAAAAAAGTAATAATTTTGTTTAAATTTGCATACTGTTACGAGTGGTTTCCTCTATCCGTTGTCCCTAGGTCCTTTGCTCCACAACAACAGAATACACAACACAAAGTGGTTAGATTTCAAGGGCTGATCTTCATTTTGAGCTTTGTTCTTCAACTCCAAAACTAGACTCACTCGTCCTCAGGACGGTTGGTACAATGTATCTAGAATCGGCCGATACACCCATCACAATACTTACTCAAACCAGACTCTATTATTACACTGGCTTTACCTGAGGATCACATGTATTGCACCATGGCACTAATGTCCTTAACCACTTCACTGCTATTGGCTTAAATCGTGTTCATACACCCTGTGCTACTGCATTTTCGTTCTGTACAAAAACCTGCCCAAAACTGTACACTATACACACAAAAAAAGCCAGATTTTTTTTGGAAGAGCGCCACCTACTGTTCAAGACCTGTATAACATCATTGTAGTGCTAATTACACAATAGGGCTTGGCATTATGCAGTGCTGCGGTCTTGAAAGTGCAATGCACATGTACGTGGATAGCAGTCAAGTGGTTAAACAGTCACTAATCTACATTTATTGATCTCCACCCAGGTGTAGTAGCTTGGTGTGGGTACCTGGTAGGAAATCATTCCTTGAATGCTTTTAGCACCTTAGGGCAGATAGGCCAAAGCCAGGGTACTAATGCTACTTTGTATGAGCCTTGGATATCCCCAGCATGGGATGGGTAAGTGAGCAATACAAATGTAGCTTTTATTATTATTTAACTACTCCACTGGTGTCTGTACTCCTTGCATTCAAGGAAGTCCTCACAATCAGGTATTTATGTTGTATACCTTCATGGAGCATGGCAAATTAAGACTATTTTTTAGGCCCAAGGATAAACATGCCATGCCTGAAACTCACAACCTTCATGTCTCCAGTCAATTGTGCAAACCGCTTGGTGACAGTTGTAACTACAGTACCTTGCGTTTGAAAGAACACCTAGAACCAGACTCCTTGTAGTACACACATGTAGAGCAAGGTTTTGTTTTGGTTAAAAAGCCAAATCATAATATTTTCTTCTGTGTCTGCTTTAAATGATCTCTTGACCAACTTTCTATCCCATACCATCTTTGCAGACATTCATATTGTATATAAAACCTAACATGTTTTTCATCTTATGATGTTTCTAATTGCAGTTTTGACTCTGTGTCTGAAAGTCATTAACATACATTCAATTTTTCATTAGCAAATGGTATCACTAGACCATAATATACAGTGCATCCCAGAAAAAACGAAACCGAGAATTATCAATGTTCTATCATAACTTAGTCACATTTATAATTGATAAATGACACATATTTGTAAAGCTTAGATCCTCCTCTTTCATTTAAAGCAACTCATATGATGCATATTTCATGCATGAGTGATTAAAATCAATTTGAAGAGAGGAAACCAAAAAGTCATTTGGCGGAAAGTATCTGAATTTCAAAGAGAAAATCACATTTTTTTCTGGGACGTTTTTTCTTGGGACGCACTGTATACTGCAAATCAAATACCATCAACCTAATTATCCGTCTCCTACTTCAGAATTCTGAAAATGTTGACTTACTCGAGCTCTTGTGGGGTATCAATCTTGCATGCATTCATCATCTGTGTCAGAATCTGTGACATTTGACCTTTGACCGACGTGGAATCACACAGCAGCATGAAATTCAGAACGGCACCAAGCAGAACTACGGTGTCCCTGACGAATAAAAATGAATTGGAAGGTGGTTATCATCTTATGACAGAGCATCACATTCAGTACTTTTAGAAAGTAAAATGCATGAGGTGAGGTACATTTCAATAACATCATTTACACTTTAAAGGTAAAGACCAGTATTGGAAACGCCCCAATTTCAAAAAATGAAAAGGAAGCTCTCATTACCAATCATGTGAAAGAATATGTTTTGACTAATACATGATGATAAAAAATTTGCCAGGAAACCGCCTACTAATTCATATATTTGGTAAATTTGTTTCTCTCATGGTCTGTGAGAGATATAGGGTAGTCCCATATACATCTTTCTGTGTATAGTGCTTGTAACTTTACGAAGAATGGGCCAAATTTCTTATCATTTTGATGATTCCAGAACCTTGCAGATGCTAGATGCTAGATGATCAACCTTTTCTGATTGATTCCACAACGTTTCTTTCACAATGCAATCGCATGACCATAACTGGTCTTTACCTTTAAAACAAGAAAAAAGAAATCTGAATCTATGTCAATAAATAGCAATGAATATCAATTATTATATCCCGCATACTAAGAATCTTGCAAACTGATTGGTCTAAACGAGGTCACATGATAAAATATAGATAACTACTATCTACCTGAGATAGTACTTTTGTAAAGTAATTTTTTGCTGCTACCCCACTTGCCCACCCTTGCCCATTGCATACGCATAGCAAAGTAGGTTACGCGAAATGTCAAAGTCAATGTCGATGTCAAATGAGCGCGCATCGACTGCATTACATGTATGCATGTTGCGCTTTGTAAAATCTAGCTGAAGCTAAACTGTCTGCAGAATCAGTTCTTATTATTATGTAAAATTCACTTTAAATAGACCTTATTGTCGATGTGGGATATAAAACAAATATTAACCTCCTTTACTCGGGCAATGGATACAAATTATCATCGCCTCGGTGATCTCGGGGCTACCATCATCCCTTGCCTTGCGGCTCGGGATGATAGTAGCCCCGAGATCACCTCGGTGATGATAATTTGCTCCATTACCCTCGTAGTCGATTAATATTTGCTTATTATCCTGACAATGAGAGCTTGTACATTATGTAAATGGCAATCCCTATCTACTTTACAAATGCTTTGTACGTCATTCATTAATGACTAGCTAAGATAGATGCCTCTAAACAATCACTTGAAAGATAAGAAAACAAAACAAAAGGTACAATTTCATGACATGCATGTACAATGTAAGCTATGAAAACATATGAGGCAACATGAAATAAGAGAACAAAATTCTTTTTGTTAAAGCACATCCATCTCTTTTCAAGTTCTATTTTGACATGGGGGTGTTTCACAAAGACTAAGATCGACTTTAAGTTGGACTTAACTATGGCAGGCTGTTCATGCCACTACTTCATCTAACCATTCCTGGCATTGGTTTCTCAAGGGACGAACAAATCATGGTCACAAATTTACATTTTTTGATAGTTTATATATTGCAGGAAAAAATATTATCTAGAGATCATATTTGAGATACCAATGGTAAGAGCAACCAGTGGCATGAAATTATGAATGGCCTATCCTAGTTTAGTTCAACTTAAAGTCAATCTTAGTCTATGTGAAACACCCCCCATGGTACATTAAGTCACTTCTGCAGTGTAAGAATGATGAGACCCTACCACTGGGCAATGAGCAACTTCAACACACGCACCAACAATTCTAAGGAATGTCTTTGAGACAAAAACGAAACAAAACATTATAATACTAGGCAAAAGATAGAGGCCGATTTAATTTTTACAATGGATCGGTACTTTATGAAATGAACCTGTCTGTAAACTGAGCTTGCAGATACCTGGTTATCTGTGCCATGTTGGTAGTCCTGTGCATCAACTCCTGAATAAAGGCAATAGCTTGGGAGGTGTATGGACCTACTTGCTGTGGATTGCCAGATAGAAAGCGATCCTTGAATTCACTCAGTATAAACCTCCTCAGGGTGCTATAGAGAACATCAAAACATCATCAATCAACATTTCTTAAAATGCCTATGTTTTTGTTGTTTATTTATAGCAATGAAAAGTTTTAGATTAATCATTATTAAATAAAAACACAAAGCAATACATAACAATGGTGGCAAATGATTTACATGATAAACTAATAAGAAGAGTTTTAAAAAAAGTATGTGGTACATAAATCAACAAAAGTGTAAACAGAGTAGCACAATGGGTCACCAGTACATAATGCATGCCACGCATCCAAAGCAAATACAGAGTTACAAACAGGTAGAAGCAGGGAGCAGAGGCATGTACATTGTAAGAGAGTGGGAAACCTAATGCTGCCTTTATACCTTGATGTCATTCAAAGCGAACAGAGCCCCCTATGACTGTGCAATCATGGGCATTTTGATCAGGTTTCTTGCATATTTCTTGACTTAATATTCTTAATTGTCAACCCGTTTTATAGAACAAATAATTCATGCATTAGTGATATGCACTGCACTTGGTTTAAAAGTCACAATGAGTTGGATAATAAACTTGACAAGTCTCATTCATTATTGTGAATTAACCTGCGTGCAGTATCTATTCACTAATGCACTCACAAACATGAATCATTTGTATACTAACCTGTCTTTCGGATCCACAGAAGTCTTAAAGGTAGAACTCAATGCTTTCTGTGAAACAAACAAAAATCATCTTCACAAATAATACATTAATTATAAAGTCTCTATTTGCTTTAAAAATCCTAGATATTATTATCACAGCATTAGTTCTGAAGACCATAGTGCTCAATAATTTGAAGGAATGAATTCAACCAGGTACCCACTTACCATACTGCAACTGGGGCGAGTGTGGCAAAGATAGATTGATGTTTCGACAAATCCTGTAACTTGTGATCTACAGGCCGGTGACTTATCAAACAAGACCACAAGAGTCCACTGACACAGGGTACATACAGTATCTTATCAAATTCACATAAATACCTACATCCATTACCCATAGAAAGCATATTTACGTCCGATTACATCTGCAGGGAATTAACTCTTCACAAGAAATCGTCTCTCAACAGTTCCAAAGGTTTATTAATATTGTAACTATACAACCTTCCATTCATTCAAGACAATGCTAGTGAATGCCTGACATGGCAAAATCTATCATATTACTAAAACTTTAAGAAGTGAGCTCGTTTCTGGAGGTCTAAAATCTCAATATCATCTGGAGCCAATAGAGCTCTAATTCCAGGTAAAATTATTTAAGTTAATTCTTTATATGCCATACAAATAATCTCCCTGTGCCATATTGTATTTATTGTGGGATAAATATATACCAAAGGCTTTGAGATTATCTAGCTGTTTCCAGAGCAAGAATAATCTATGCCAGTGTTAAAGGGTTGTCATGGAGCTCATCAAGACCAAAAATTGATAATTTTGCAATCCATTGTGTTGCACAAATCATCTCCCATCAAAAGACCAGTTTACTAACATATTCAAATTGTCTGCATACTTTTTAAAAAAAAGGTTGTTTTGACAACCTGAAAGCTTGCCCAAGGCTTGCTCGACATAGCAACAAGTAATACATGCAGACTGGACTCCAAGTATTGAAGTTCATTCATTGATAACAGGTTAACTAAATAACTCATCACTAGGTCCCAAGGAAAGAAACATCCATAGGTTTGAATATTTGTTATTAAGCCGGTCTATTGTTGCCTATTTATTGTTTTGTGCCAATTTGCACGTGTGGAAAATGAGTGACTGTGCAGAGGGGCACAGAAAGCAACCAAAGAGTTAATGCCCTCCCATCTCCAATCAGACGATATATGCTGTATATGATACATACCAACAGTGGATGAAGGCCTTCTCCAAACCCCGATGTAGAGAGTTTCTATAAAAAGAAGAAAAAGAAAGTATGTTATATGGAATAAAAAATGTAGTACTTTAATTAACAGAATTGACTGAACAAATAAGAATGGGTTCTACAACTTCGCCATAATTTCTTTATTTCTTACATGTACATGCACCAATGCAACGAGTAATGCAGAAACATTGATAGATTCGATGGCAACAAAACTCCCACTTCATTTTCACATTTCATTTCATTTCATTTCATTTCATTAATTCAGTTCTGATTGGTAGACCATTCAATTTACCCCCCCCCCCCCCCCCAATTTTTTTTCCAATCAGACTTAGGCAGGCCTGAAACTGTATCTCCAAGTTCAAGGAAAAACTTGATGCCTTGTGATCCCTTGAATTGAAATGACGATGGTTTATTGTTAACTGACTGAGTCAGTTGTGAATACATAATAAAATCAGTATAAATTAAAACATACGTGAGGAAATATGAACGTATTAAGAACATGTGCAAGCAAAATACTTTGATCTTGTATTCATGAATATTCTTTTTTTTTAAAATTCAAACTCTAGAATATGTGGAACTCACCACTTTGTATCTGATGAAGTAATGACATGTGATTTCTTTCAACTTCCTCTGGATGTAAGAATCTCTAGAAACATCATGGAGACCAATACCTTCTACAAACTAGTACCAAAAAGACAAACATGGAAACCAGTAAGAAAAAGGCAGATAGCATTACGAGAAGATTATCATTATTTATTTATTGCAACAAAAACCTGAGGTTTGATTTCTAGATTGTGTTCTATACATATATTTGACTTAAGTTCTGATACTGAACAAAGAATATTTAGGAAAATACATTATGTAACAAAAAAAGAAAATAAAGAATTAAATATCAACCTCATCATGAGCCTCAACAAGGCTACATTTAACTTTTAAGGTTTTTAACAAAAATGGGGAGTAGGGCATAATTCCCCACAAATTAAAACCCCACTGTACTACTTGCTCCCTCTATATAGGAAACAATGCCTAATCAGTGACCATTGGTCCCCCATGATCCTCTTTTTCTTATGTTAATTGAGAGCTGATTTGATGAGATAGCCACCAGTCAGTGAGCACCCTGGGTGGTCTAATCCAGAGCTGCCAACCTTGTGCGACCAAAAAAAGGAATCATGATGGCAAAAAAAAGGAATTTCAAGCAAAAAAGAGGAATTCATAAAAACGAAACTTACAACCACGCGCGACACACTTCTAATGCAGAAATGTTCATTCCTCATGCTTTTTTTTCCATACAAGCAGGTTTTTTTGTTTTCATTATTTTGGTATTATCGGCATTTCATTCTTTTTGAGAATATTATTCTCTTCAAGTATGTTTTAAAATTAGTTTTCTATTGAATTTGGGATCAAATCACCATTTTAGGGCAGTTGTTTGATGTGTGGTAGACCTAGACTATCTATGTAAAAAAAAAAAAAAAAAACATTATTAAAAAAAAATTATTAAAAATTTAAAAAAAAAGTATTTTATGAAGCCATAGAGCAATTTAAACAAGTTTGGAGTTTAAATCTCCAGTGGTTCTTGAGATATCATGATAACAATCTCAATGTATGGAATTTCATAAGTTGACCTCTGTGACCCTTGACCTTTGACCTACGTGCTCCAAAATCTAATCAGATTGTCTTCCTATGGCGATACACACTATCATTAAGTTTGAAGTTTAAATCTCCAGTGGTTCTTGAGATATTATGATATGGTGATACATACTATCATTAAGTTTGAAGTGAAAATTCTCCAGTGGTTCTTGAGATATCGCGATAACGATCTCAATGTATGGAATTTCATGAGTTGACCTCTGTGACCCTTGACCTTTGACCTACGTGCTCCAAAATCTAATCAGATTGTCTTCCTATGGTGATACACGTACACTATCATTAAGTTTGAAGTTTAAATCTCCAGTGGTTCTTGAGATATTATGATAACAATCTCAATGTATGGAATTTCATAAGTTGACCTCTGTGACCTGTGACCTTTGACCTACGTACTCCAAAATCTAATCAGATCGTCTTCCTATGGTGATAAATACTATTCCCGAGTCTTAAGTTTAAATCTTAAATGGTTCTTGAGATATTGTGATAACGGTCAAACGGGACGGACGTACGGACGGACAACCCGAAAACATGATGCCTCCGGCACCACCTTCGGTGGCGGAGGCATAAAAACGTAATACCATAATTTGGAGGAAAAACAGAGTAATTCTGGCAAAAACGGAATGGTTGGCAGCTCTGCTAATCCCTCCTGGCCAAACTAGTACAGAAGGCCTTTAAGCTAATAGGGCGCAATTTTAACACAAACTTAAGGTATTCCCATTGGTTTCCAAAGGGAGCAGGGGGAGCTGTTTGTGCACCTTAATCCCTCCAATGATCTTTGCCCCTAGCCCCTCCATCATCTCCGTGGCAATCTTACCAGATGTAATGATTCTCTGATGGAGTTGTGCTGGTTTGCTGGGAGAGGTTTCTTGAGGTTAAAGACTCCAGGGAAGAGGATCAGTTCTGTAAGTAGACCGGGCAGCTGGGACTGGGAGGATCCCTGAAGTCAAAACAAAGGAGACTAAGATTATAGATCATTGTTGGAATTAAATATCAATGATCATTATCATTAAGTTTGTTTGTGAAAGGCGATGCAAAGCTTTGGAAAATTTTGAAAATTGGATGGATAGTACATTGTAATTCTTTAAAATGTTGATATTTGAATCAGGGAATAATTTTCCTGGTATCGCATCGCAATTTGCTATGCATTTTTGCATGACTGCTATACAAAATATCTTTTGTGTAGCAGTTTTCTTCCATAGAAATGTACAGAATTTCATTTGAAATATTTATCCATCGGCTGAAATTGCTAATCAAAAAATTTGAGGAAAATTATTCCCTGTGAATGTTTTATAAGCACTAGAAAATTATGAGAATGAGGGGTCAAAAAAAAGAAGAAGCAAATAGCCTTATAGTACGTTGACCTGAGAATTAACAATAGATACATAATTATAATACACAGACAGACAAATAAAACACAATATTCTTATTCTACAATGATTCTCAGACATACACACACATAGCCATTACTAACCTGCGAGTAGAGAACATTCCCACAATGCTTGACGGCGTGACCCACTACTACATACATCTGGTTCATCTCCTCCAATGACCTTTGACCTCTAACCTGAGTTCTTACCAGTGATACCAGGTCACCAAGGTACTGCAGTGCTATGCTTCGACGTTTTAGTTTGTCTTGGTAAGTCTGTATAATAGATTCAATACCAACACCGTTCAAATTAATTTTCAATTCCAATTCAGTATCTTTTACATCCATTCTTTGCAAACATGTAGATGCACTATGGAAGAAGCAGCAATAAAAAAAATACAAAAACAAGCAAACAAATAAATTTAATCTTAAAGCACATTGATACCAACAAATAAAGCTCCTAATTCAGTTTCAATACTAAAAAGAGAATATTTTGAAGGCATCATAGTAAAGTGGTTCATTCACTCGACTCTCAATCCAAGGGTAGAGGGTTCAGGGTTCAGCCCGACACTCCCTTCTTATGAAAAGACATTAATCCATTATATATCTATATATAAAGAACAAACTATTATTATTATTGTTATTATCATATGTAATATAGTGATCTCTTACCTGTGCTGAAGAAGAGTATTTTCCCAGTATGTGGAAGAATCTGAAAACAGGCGTTTGGTTCGAAGCTGTCAGATTATCATCTGCACCCTAAAAACATAGAAAAACATAAAAAATAGTTCATGGATTAAAAATCCTAGCAATTTGTCTCTTTCTCCAAGAACTTGTTTTAATTTGGGGATGAAGCAATGTGTCAGAAATAATTTTTCTGTTACTCCCAATATTGCAGATTGAAAGTACCGGTATGTCATTCAAATTGATAAATAACACTAATTACACAGAGTAGCTTACCACGCTCTGCATCATGCTAACCACTTGAGGGAGCTTCATGACCAGCCGTCCAAGCTCCTGCATCTGTTCCGAGGCTCCTGGTGTCTGGATAGATGCATGGATCCATGCTCGTACCAGGAGACAATCCATGGAGTCGGCTCCTGATGGAGTCTCCAGGCTCTCCATGAAGGATTGGTTAGGCAGCAGGTGACACAGATAACGGGTTCGGATGCTGGGATAAGATCAATAATAAAAATAATAATATTGGATAATTATATATCTCCAATCATTACCCCCGCTCTGCTAGGTAGCCCATTACAGCTCTCACACGTTTAAGGAATTCCTTCCTATCGGTACCCATTTAACATGTGGGTGGAGAGTGGCAAATGTAGTCTAATATCTTGCCAAAGAACATTAGTGCAGCGGCAGGATTCGAACCGTGGACCCTGTGATCCACTAGACCACAACACCTCTATCGTCAAACAGGTCACTCAGATGGATCTACATGATGCAACACATCTATACGTCTCACTGACTTTTATCCAATACATTTGTCAATACAGTCAAACCTGCTTTAGTGACCACCTGTCTACAAAGACGGCCTGTCTACAAAGGCCACATTTGTTGTTTCCCTTGAAAATGGTTTCTCATTGAATCATGTACTAAATGAACTTGTCTACAAAGACCACCTGTCTACAAAGGCCACATTTGTTGTTTCCCTTGAAAATGGTTTCTCATTGAATCATGTACTAAATGAACTTGTCTACAAAGACCACCTGTCTACAAAGGCCACTTTTTGTGTTTCCCTTAGGTGGTCGCTGTAGACAGGTTTGACTGTATTTGTAATAATCAAACAATGAAAAGTGTGTCAGAGCATTAACCTATTACGGATGGACATTCGACATGATTTTTTCTTTGATCCAATGAGAGTCACCGCCTTCTGATTGCATCTTAATGAGAACATTCAGCTGTTTAACAATAACGACTGGGTAAGCATTTTCGGTCATTGACAAAGGAGCAATTTCCCTCTCTTGGGTTTTGTTTGGATGGTGTGTTCTCTAAGATTGTGTCTTAAATAAAAACATCCCCAATTGGGAGCAGCAAAGTTGAAAAGTAGACGATTGTGGTGATATGAAATGTATTATTACTGATTCGCACACACCCATGACCTTATAAACCAATTAGAAGGCCATGATCTTAATAAGCCCTGTGCGTTGTAACTTTGGAATATTATAAGGAAATTAGGGGAAACGGGATTTTAAATCACAACCAATCCAAATATAACCTCTATCTGGTAATATCAACATGTTTTTCAAAACAAAATACAGTACACGGAACAACAATTTCTGATTATAAGCCAGAACTGCACATCGATTTCCCATGATTTAAACAATTTATTATCTTCTGCGCATGTAGATTAACATGTTTAAAATCACTATCTTGATTCTCTCCCGGCTTATTGGCAGTGACCCTCATGAGATCAAAATGAAGAAAATTGTACGGAATGTTATTAAGACGACATTGACGGAGACAATCACAATGAATTTTTAAACGATGAATGTCCATCCGTAATAGGTCCATGGTCAGAGGAAGAGAAATAGGGATAACAATGAAAGGATCAGCCTATGGAAATGAGAGAATTCTGTAGTCTACAGGTTGCAGGTGATTTGGAGTGTTTCACTAACACTAAGACATGTAGATCCATCATAAATGATTGATATTACGTTGAAGTGAACACTATACCTTGGATGAACCTTGCTGGTTTGTAGACCAAAATACTGGAAGAGATTCCACACTGGTGTATCGCAACATGATGATCTGCAAAAAAAATCAACAATGTGTAACAAATATCATATTGTCATGGTCAGATAGGTTAATTATCAGACGAATACAAGATATTTGATCGTTTTGTATCCTGAAATAAAATAAAATTATATTTAGAAAAGTGTTGTTGAGAGAAAAAAAAATGAGATAAGTTTGAACTTCAAGGAGCGCTAATGCTGTTAGAAGTAATACCTACACAGCAGCTCAGTTGTTAATGATCGGTATCAGACAATACTGTACATGTAGATTTAAAAATTCTTTCATAAAATTCCTTTATTGATATCTAGAACAAACATAATTATCTAAAGGTTACGTGAATGTTAAAAACAAAAGACAATTTTCAAAGGAAGATTTCACCATTAAAATTCTTAATACAATCAGGAGAGACTTGGTATTTTTCTAAGGAGTAGAACAAAATGCGAAGACAATAGATTAACAAAAATCTGTATTTTGTATGAAAAAATAAAATCTTGTTTTTCATTTTCAAATTTTGGCATGAGATACTGCAACTCAGACTTTCCCTTTTCAAAACAAATACCATACCACTAGCGGATTCAGCGTTTGAAAAAGAAATGGGTGTGTGTGCTGCGCCCTGGCACCGCGCCACAGCGCCACACCCCTACATCTGCAACTCAATACTACACATAGTAGACTTACATATCAGCAGCAAGAAGAGTGAATCCTGCAGCGACGTCAGCAAGCTGTGAGGGTGGGGTCTGGGTAGTAGCATGCTGCTTCACAAACGGATAGATGTGACTCCATAGAGCATCAGACGTTACTAAATACAAAAATCAATCATTCAATCAATCGGTCAGTCAATCAATCAATCTACTGACCAGTTAACTATTTAATCAATCTAATCAATCAATTAACCAAGTAGTTAATTCCATTCAACTGAATTGTATTGTATAAGTAATATTTTATTTCATTTTGTTGCTTTTAAGCTACATTGAACATGTTGAATAATTATACTGAGTTAGACAGTACCACCTGTGCGCTTAGAAACGCCTGTATTAAGCGCCCTATCAATTTCATTATTATTAATCAATAAATCAATGAATTAATTGATTAATCAGTCATTCAACTGACCAATGAATCCATTGAACGATCATGGCTATATACAGACTGTGAGAAAGGCATCCTTGGAAAGTGTTGAAACGTAGCAGTATCTGTCTGTTCTAGGCACTCTGTTTTAGATTTACTATTGTATTAGTGACATTTACAGCTTTTTTGTGGCTCTCTTCATCTGTAGACATTTTGTCTAATGTCTCTTGCAACAAAGTGAAATCTCATTCCCTTTACATGGACATGTACACGTCTTATTGATATCAAGACAATATTCCTAAGAAAACAAGATACATTACCTTTGTATTTTGTCATTAATGGACTCAGCGTTTTTTCATTCGCTGGTTGATTGGTGAGCTGTTTGTAAAGGCTCCTGTAAAACAATAATGAAATCATAATTGAGACTCTGTGAATGAAGATCTAATTAGGATTAGCGATAATCATCTTATAAAGAAGTTTAGTCGTGACATAATGCAGTTGTACTGTGCAATCTAACTAAGGTATTTCTAGGAACATTAAAGCCAGGATGCAGCAAGAAATCTCTATATACATTTAAAGGAATTTTTTCCCATTGGGTACATATTTTGGCAACCCGAGGCATGAGTGGCAGATGTAGAGTAATGGTATTGCTTAAGAACATTAAATCTCTTTCAGATATGCGGTCATAAACCATAGTGGTTCTTTCTAACACATATATTAATAAATGGCAACTGTGTACAACAAAGGTCTTGTGTGTGTGTTAACAGACCTCTGTGTTGTAAGATACAGAAATGGGAAGCATAGTACTTGAGGTCATATTTTATATTATTTTTAAAAAATGCTGCAGTCTCTGTCTCATACCTGAATGAGGCTTTTATTGTCAAGGCAAGTAGCTGAACACAGTGAGGGGGTAATGTGTTAATGTGTGTATGAGAGGAAATGATTGAGAGATGGATAGAGAAGGGGAGAGGAAGGCAGAGAGACAAAATGAGAAAGAGGGAAGGGAGGAGGAGGGAGAGACCCGATAGAGAGACCTAGAGAATGAAAAAAAGGGATCAAAAGATTAAACTGACCTATGTCTTGCCATGGTAGTTTGTACAAACATGAGAACAGATCGGATCTCCTGCTCTCCTGCTGATGATAACAACTCTCCAAGACCACTAGCTGAAAAGATAAATAAAACAATCCTAATCTATGTTGATTATTAGTTTCAATGTAAAGTGGGTTCTATTATTTCTCAGAAACATACATGTACATCAATTAAGACTTGTCCATGAAAGATCTTCAAACATACTTTGATCGGGAAGGAGCATTCGTTTGGAAGCTTTATTGATGAGAAGTCGAATGTTTTCAACACCTTATCACAATTGTGAAAAGGAGACAGCTACAGTGGTTTGGGCATTAAACTAGATAGAAGAATAGGATGGCAAACAACATCTTGCAAATATGAACTAATGTGAATAGAAAGGGGGGCAGACCAACTAGGAAATGGACTGGTAACATCAAGTAGTGGAAGGGCATGTCATATGAGCAGTTAACAAGAATGGCTGAAGACAGGAAATTATGGAGAACCTGTGTCTCAAGGTCCATTTCATAGTCGCCTAGGTGGCCTCTAAGCTATAGGACATAGATTAAAAGTTTATCACTCGAGTGTTAAAAATGGCTAATACTAAATTCACTGAAATTAATAAGTGATATAATCTTCATGTGACTGACCAATGAACTTGTCCTCAGATAGATTGAGAAGGTTGCTAGAATCAATGACCTCTTGAACTCCTTCCAGGTAGCACACGATCAGATTCCAGCAATCAGACTTCCTGAGAGTATCACACTTGATCTGATTGTAAGTTCTGTTCAAACACAATGCAATCAAATTTGTCGCATTCGTTACTGACTACATCAAAGATTTATTGATTGTAAAGTATTCGGTATTGATTGTAAGTTTCCAGTATTGATTGTCAAGTATCCGGTATTGATTGTAAAATGTCCTGTATTGATTGCACAGTATCACACTTGATCTGATTGTAAGTTCTGTTCAAACACAATTCAATCAAGTTTGATGAAGTACATGTATTTTGTCGCATTCGTTACTGACTACATCAAAGATTTATTGGTTATAAAGTATCCGGTATTGATTGCAAAGTATACAATATTGATTGCACAGTGTACAATATTGATTGCACAGTATACAGTATTGATTTCACAAATTATTGGGTTTGAGATGTATATTGATAGCTTCTTTAACCCTCCGTGTGTACCAATGTCGGTCTTGGGAAAGGCATTGAACCCCGCCCCAGTCTGGCTGATGCTGGTTATCCCAAACATGTTCGGCTACGGCTGAGTTATCAGCTCGGCGGAGCCTGACATCCCTCTTATGCTCAGTGATTCTTTTGATCCCTTGTTGACCATACATTGCGAGACAAACGAATGTCACTAGCGATATCATTTTCGATACTATATCCGCAATGAGTAATATATTTAGTATTATCCATTATTAATTGCACATTATACAGTATTGATTGTATAGTATCCATTTCTTGTTGGGAATACATTTTGTAAGTGCATAAAACACATAGTTGTATATAACAACAATAACACCTACCATCAACAAAAACATATTTCATACAGGGTACCCAAATTTATCCCATTCAATCCCCAATACGGGCGATGGCAAGAGCAACACAAAAAGTGGCCTTTGTAGACAGGATCCTTTAGTACATGATTCAATGAGAAACCATTCTCAAGGGAAACAACAAATGTGGCCTTTGTAGACAGGTGGTCTTTGTAGACAGGTGGTCACTAAAGCAGGTTTGACTGTAGAAGTATATGTTGAGTTGATGTCTCACCTTACTACTGTATTGAAGGAGGTCATTAGCTTATCAGAAACAAGCTCAAGATCACACTGTCTTTCTTCATGAACCAGACACAGAGCAAGTAATCCTGTAAAATTAAAAGAAATTAATATTTAGCATTTATTATCCATTCAGAATTTTGTTTTCACTGGTAAAAGGTTTAGAGTTTAGGGCTAAAATTAAGCAAATATTCCAAACAGGCAAAGCTATCATTTAAACAATTTGAATATATAAATACTCAACATACTCTCTATTTTGTGTGTTGTTGTAAAAACACAACTTTATTTTGCATTAAGTATTAATGACCAGCCTACCTACATGTACATATAGATGTACATGTACTTCAAATATTAAGCTCATTTCTAGCTCCATAGAATTATCTGGATTACCAAAATTGCTCATCTCATACAAATCTAATACTTGAGTACGATGTCGATACGATAAAAAGAAACGGAAGAAAGAAACATTACTTTAATTGAATTCCTTATAGTCACACAAATTTCATCTGCCTTTAGTATATGACATATGACCAGTAAGTGGTGTAAAAGTCTTATTTTTTGGTTAATGTGCAGGTTTGGTAGATCATTACTAGCAATGCATGTATGACTACAAACCTGGGCAGGTATTTAATTTAATACTTATGACAGAAATAGGAGCATTTTACTCATTTTTTTTTGGCTTAGATACAATACTTAGCCAACTTCGGTATTCAGGTGAAACTTTTGGCTAAAGTATTTTACCCTAAATTTCAGCCAGCTCCCTACCAGACTTAAGCCATTTATTTTTTAATCATTGATTGACAGGCTTATGGTTTCACTTTTGATTGACCGTGTGATGTCACAATGCTTATCAGTAAGCGTTTTGCCATAAAGTCGGCATGCGAAAGAAAATCGCTTAAATGTGATCTGAATACATGAAAGACATTTTACTTAGCTCAACCGAGTCTTTAAAAAAGTGTTAAAGTGAATAAAGGCCCTGAATTCAAGATTCTCTGACGGGAGGCACAAAAACCAACACATCTCTGACAAGCAAGGAAGCAAACAGACAACAACAAAAAAACAAGCAATGGATATACCTCTCCAGATCAAGAGCTGTCTGCTGATGTTTGTGTTGGTGACTGGAACCAGATCAACAAAGTCAAGTACTCGGATTGTCTGTCATGAAACAGGTAGAAACAGAGAGAGAGAGAAGGAGAGAGAGGGGGGGGGGGGAGAGAAGATAGATAGATAGATAGATAGAGAAAAAGGGGGGGGGCAAGAAATGGGATGGCAGATAAGGCAAAAGATATGATATAAACCATTGTGCCATAAATTTAATATACATGCACCACATGCCTGTATCTGGCCACATGATTTCAATAAAAAAAGTTGTTATATCATATTGAGATTTAACACTCTGAAAACAGACAAACACACATACCATTAAAAAGGATTGTTTATTTAATGATAACTCATATGTTGGCCATTCTCCTAATCTGTTCACACTGCTTGAAGTCTTTGGCGAAATACATGCCTATGGCTAAACATATATGCTTTTTTTTCTGATCAATGTTTCCTTCTCAATCAAAGTATGGTGAAGAATTTTATATGTATGCGCCACTATTTAAAAAAAAGAAAAAAAGAAATGAACCAAATCTGGTGAATATTTGTAACAGCATTCAAATAAATATACTTTGTCCATGCACTATATTATTTCACAAACATAAAATAAGAAACACTGAATATTTCCACAATCAGTAATAGAGTTAACAATCATGATCCAGCTCTCACCAATGATGAAAGGTCAACCAAGAGGGCAAGGGTCAAGAAGAGGTCAAAGAAATGTTGCAGACCAATGTCACCCAGCTCCTGCATGGTACGACTGTGAAACTTGGAATACAATCTGGAAGAAACAATTAATTCAAAATGAGATAAAATCTTACATTCATAATACCATGTCACTATGTTAACAGTATTCTAACATGGAAAATAAATGAAATGAATTGAGTTTAGGTTAATGATTCTTTTCATGTCATAGTGGTCCCCTTGGTAATACTTGGTAATGTATTGATTACAAAATTACCAAATAACTTTGACATGCCTCATTGTGTGAAGCTGAAATGGTAGAGTGGTTCATTCACTTGACTCTCAATCAAAGGGTTGACGGTTCAAATCCTAGCCCAGAACTAATGTCCTTTGGCAAGATATTAATCCACATCTTCTACCCTCCACCACGGTAGGTACCTGGCAATTGCTGGGGTAATAATAATTGCAGGATCTTCAGGAAAAACAGCACTGAAACTGATGAGGCTACCCTGGGTAAGAAGTGAATATTATTATTATTACATAACATGTAATGTACCTACCTTCCTTGTAGCTGTTTCCATGCCTGTGTGTTATTAGCTGCGTTCCATTTCGTCATCTTACAAGCCAAGATACGGAGGAAGAGATGAAAACTCGTCTCCTGCCCACCACTGAATAAACAAAGAAATTTAAACTTCTCAAAACGATTAGGAATAATCTCCTATTGACTAATCATATACGGTATTCACATAATGACAATACTGCATCAAGGACGAAACAAACAGTTTAACCTGCTTAACCCTATTTAGTCCGGGGGGGGGCTTCAGAAGCCCCCCCCCCCCCTCAACATTTTTCGCGATAATTTTTTAACGCAAGAAAATCTTGCACTGAAATTTTGTGACTTTTCTCTTTCGAGTCTTGCGCATTTTTTGAAAGAAATTTTTCATAAATCGGACCTACCATTACAAAGTCATGTGTCCTTTTGTCTTTGCATGTCAGCCCGAAAATCGCTCATTTTTGTGATTTGTGTACAAAACATGGAAATCCCATTTTTCAAATAAAGAGATAAAACATTGGTTATTTGGTCTTGTTTCTAGTTAAGGTGTTTATTTTGGGGTCAAAATAGTTGAATTATAGTTGGAAATGAAATAAAACAACAAAAACAATAAAATACATAAGTTAAAAAAACAAAGAAATACATAAGAAATTATCAAAACAATAGATACTATAAGGAATAACCCTGGTTATTTAATTTTTTGTGTTGTATTATTATTCCAAATGGTCTAACAAATATATGTAGTGAAAAAGAATGCCTAAATATGAATAATGTCTGATTTATGGGCAAAAATGTGAATTTTATGACCTTATTTGCATAAATTACCATAAATATGCAAATGAGTGAATTTTTCAAAAAAAATTTAACTTACCATAGTATTCTATACACTTCACTTGACATGTATGCAAATTTTCGTGGCAATCGGTCGTTTCACGACCGAGATCATGGGTGGGGGGGTGGGGGGGGGGGGGGGGCTTAAAGCCCCCCCCCCCCCACCCCCCGGGCTATGCAGTTTCAAAATAGCCCGAGCTAAATAGGGTTAAGGCACCCTCCTGAATAGAAAGACCACCTGTCTACACAGACCAATTTTTTGCTGTGGTCCTTAAACAGAATTTCTTATTGAAACACGTACATAAAGACCACATTTATTGTCTTCCTTGCACGGTCTTTACACACAGGTTTCACTGCATTCATATATTCACATATGACAATACTGCATCTAGGTCACTACATAGGAGGGAAGTATATCTGTCCAGAAAATGTGTGCAAGACTTGATGCAACAAGCCACAAAAGTTTACCCAAACATATATTTGGCCAATGCTACAAATTTGAGGGTTCAACTCTTTCCAAATTGTTTTCAAAATGGCTGACAGTGATATCTCAAGTATAGATTTCTAAAGGTATACCATTATTGCTAAAATCCAGGTACTGAATGCAATGTATGGTGGAGCTGGACCTTGAATAAATCCTTAGAAAAGCAGAATTCAAGCAGCAGAAATGCTGGTTCTTAAGAAGCATGCCTAGGATACCTTACACTGACTGAGCCTGATTGGTTCATGCTTGGAGAGTTCAAATACAAAGGTCTATTCTGATTGGCTAAATGTAGCAAAGTTTTAGGTGTATCTCATAAAATATACATCTTTACTGGCAATTGCTAGCAGAGCTTAAAAGTGTTTGATATACTTTTTTTTAGAAAGGATAAACATGTAGTATACAGACTGTTCCAACGGTTAAAGAAACATGTATACCCCCTCATCAGCAACTGTGCATTCTGATTGGAATAAACCAGGAATAAGTAATCAGAAGACGGATTCTAAGTGGTTAAATATCAGAAGTATTGTGTTTGTTTGTAATATGGGATCAAGTGAAATCATTGGTGACTTGGTGTAATTTCTTACCTCGAGTTCTGATCATCACAACGTTTCTTGCAAGTCTGAAACCATCCCAGTGCTGATTTACTGAAAGACAGGAATAAAACCATAAATGAAACATTTATACATTAAACCAAGAAAACGATAATCAAATTAAAATTTCTTGAAAAGTGCTGATATATATCACAAAGCAGGTACTCATGATGCTCCAGTTACAAGTAAGGCTACCAACAGGTGCTCACAGCATTCAGGAAATTCCTTTTTACCAGATAATGCCTGATATTCTCTTTGTGAAGCCATGACTGAATGCATCAAAGATAACTTCATTGAATGTTTTGGTGGATGCAATCTACGATCAAAAGCCAATAACCTATAATACGGTAAAAATATGAGTTTAAAAAAAATATTTAAAAAAAAAAAAAATGTTAAATTTTTTTTGTTTTTGGTTGTTGTTGTGAAAAATGAGATCCAAAAGTTTGAACAAATTGCACTTGTGTTAAGATAACTATTACATATCAAATAGAAAATCTGCCTGATTGAGGTTTAATAGTCACCTGAAATGTGAAGCCTTTTGGTCTGAAAAAAAAAGGCACAGGCTACATATTGCATATTAATTTATGATGATATTGTCATTTGACATACCTGATAGTTGCCAGACCCTGTATGCCTTGCCCTGGAACGGTAAGACGATGATTCTGAAAGAAAAAATTTGAACATATGGGAGAACTCATTAATTCTCACTGAAGATGCAATGTACGAAAATATCACACCCTTGGTGTAGCCTATAAGTAATATAAGCCTATAAGGGCAATATTTGACATGCGTTTCTTTTCTTGGTAGTGTTTCTGCCTAATTTTCGTCATCTAATTTTACTCGTAGGAACCCTGACTATGTGATATAACTGGTTTGCACTGTTCTTAGGAAGTAATCAGGCTATTTGTACCACATGTAAGTAACAGATCAGTGGCTAACTTTGGCACACACCAAAACCATAATATAGAATGGCACTGGTCCATCCCTGACATAATTTTGTCTGATGTCTTTGATTGGTGAAAATGCATATTTCTCACATAAAAATAACAATACTTCTGGATTTATATAGCATTTAATATGGAATACTGTCTCTTAGTGCTTAACATACCAGTTTCCTATAGAAGTGATCCCAGAGACTGATAAGAATCTTTGTATGTGGCTCCCATAGCTGACACAGGACCAGGAGGTGTCTAAGATAGGACAGGAGCTTAGCCTCCGATGTTTCAGCATCCTGTCAAAAAAAAAATTAAATGTTTATATAGCTTCTACCACTGTGGTACTCTGAAATACTGTAAACTCTGTTATTTTTATGTGAATAATTTTTTGCGCTGAGCGACCCCAAAACATATTCGCTGGTTCTTAAATTCGTGTTGCAAGCAATTCAGCCCGTTCAAAACATGCATAAGAAGTCATGCATATATTTCCGCGAGTTCTAAAATTTGTGCTTGCTGATCTTAGCACGAAATCCACAAAAAGAACTGTAAAACTGCAAATATTTTTAATTTTACAGTACTTGTTTAAATTCTCTAATATTTGTGTACTCTTTTAGTACTAACCAGTTACCATGGTAAGCAGTAAGGTCCATGGTAAGAAAAGGCAAAGTGTGTAGGCTTATAAGAAAGTATACATTGGTACAATCTCAGACTAACGAAGGAAGACTGAGCCAACCTGTGTTTAATCTACAGACAGTGTCTCTCTTGAGCCAACAGTCTTTATTTGGAGACAAGGAAGTAGGAGTGGAAGACCTTACTTTGCATGGCAAGGACTTGCCATATTCATGCTATCAATGGACACTTATTGGAGGTTGTGCATAATTTTGAAATAGATTAACAATCCCAGAAAACACTGAAATTGTTAAATACTAACACTTAAAATTCTTTAAAGGTAAAGACCAGTTATGGTCATGCGATTGCATTGTGAAAGAAACGTTGTGAAATCGATCAGAAAAGGTTGATCATCTAGCATATAAGTACTGGTGTGTACTGCAAGGTTCTGGAATCATCAAAATGATAAGAAATATGGCCCAGTCTTTGTAAAGTTACAAGCACTGTACACAGAAAGATATATATGGGACTATACGCACACATGCGTTTATCTCTCACAGACCATGTAGATAAACTAATTTACCAAATATATCAATTAGTAGGCGGTTTCCCGGCAAAATTGTTATCATCATGTATTAGTCAAAACATATTCTTTCACATGATTGGTAATAAGAGCTTCCATTTCATGTTTTGAAATTGGGGCGTTTCTAATACTGGTCTTTTACCTTTAATATACACATACATCTAGAATAAAAGTTAACAAAACTACATGCATAACATTGGTACCACAACTACGGTGTAGATTGGCAAAATACTGCACAAATTTTCATTTTTAGAATTTGTTCTGGCTATTTAAAATGAAAATACATCACCTACAGTACGGGATTTCAAAACTTGTTAATCCCTCACCTTAGACAAGACTTTCTTGAGAATATCCTCTACCAAGTACCAGGGACTCCTACTAATCGGCTGATAGAAGGAAAGGAAAGAACACATTTCAATATTATTTTAAGACATTTTATTTAACCATAAACGATAACCATAACAAAAACATACAAACAATAAAACAAAAACACAGTATGGAATACGGAAAGGACCCATAGAAAAGCAAATGCTTGTGAGGAATCGCCCTCAAAGAGAGAGAGAGAGAAAAAAAATACCAAGTAGATAGAGGTACTGGATGACATGACATGGAAAGTACTGTATGCTCTCATGAATATAAAATATTTGATATACAGCAGGTCAATGGTGCAATTAAACCATCATCCTCAAACTGTGATACCCTAATTTTCTAGATGACACTGATATTAAATGACAAAGGCATTGATAACAACAATACTATTGCACAGCTGGGCACTTATAGGCCTCCGGGTCACCTGGGCACCCGAAATGTCAAGTTTTTAACATTGGGATCATGCATACACACTCTAAAAAATTCATTTATGGACATTCTACTCCGAAAATAATAATTTAAAGCTATAAAATTTTGCATTTTTTCACCTTTTTGACCAAGTTATTACCCGTTTTTTTTTTTTTCATAGACAAAACATTTTATCAGAACAATGTAGCATTAAAAGAAAATATTATTATTGCCAATTTGAAGGACAGCATGTGATCAGTTTAGCCCCTTATGAGTCGTATCTTGAAAGGGTTAACTTCAAGTGTAAATGTTTGTAGGAATGACGAGTGTGTGACTAGTACCTGTGTAGTTTCTTGTCCTGTCTTGTCATAGCGATAGAGAGATGCTAGTTGCTGCAGTAACCACCAGCATAGACCTTCAGCATCCTTGGCCGTCGTCACTCCTATAAGGAACAGTCATCCACAGGACAATGATGCATAGATTAGTACCATTGTGATTACAACTCCTTGCATGCCACTGGTCCATCATCATCATCATCATCATCATCATCATCATCATCATCATCATCATCATCATTATCATCATCATCATCATTATCATCATAATCATAATAATAATTATTGTGAAGATTAACTACATACATAACCACCTTGCAGACCTTTAAAGTCTTAAACCTCACCGCTGTATCAAGAAAAATAGGCTTCATTTTGTGAAATATATCATATATATAACATTGGAATTGGGCAGAATAAAAACATCTAGCACTGGAAATTGATAACTACTTACTATACACGGTTGCCTATAAAGTAGGAATAATTTCTTTATGGCTTTTCATGCAATAAGTTTGACAATGTGGTTAATTCTTGATTGAAATGTTTATATCTTCTCAAAACGTTATTGATCAATCTCTACAACTCTTCAGATTGATCAATAAAGTTATGAGAAGATATATACTCTATCTATCATGAATAAACCATGTTGTCACAATCACTTCATTAAAAAAGGTTTTTTTTTTTTTAAAGTATTCCAAATTTATGGGCAACAGTGTAGAATGATGTTTGAGAAGAATTAAAAATGCAAACTTATAAAGATGAGGAAAAACGGGAAGAGAAACTAGAACTGATTATTGACAGGCATAAAATGTGTTTTCAATGTAATTTTTTCTGCATGCTCATTGTTTATTGCAGAGAACAAGTACTTCATCCCGGAAGACTATCTAAATCATACATGTTCTATATACAAATTTCACTTGCGTGGCACAAGTTTCTATGAAAGTGAAATGTACTAAGGTTACTATGGTAACACCCACCTCCTTGCGGTTGTTGATCAGTCTTCTCTACTAGAGGACACAATAGCTGATGAAGGGTGCCCCAAAATGACTGTAAAAGATTCAAATATCATTATAAATTCATGATCATGTGCCCCAAAATGACTGTAAAAGATTCAAATATCATTATAAATTCATGATCATGTGCCCCAAAACGACTGTAAAAGATTCAAATATCATTATAAATTCATGATCATGTGCCCCAAAACGACTGTAAAAGATTCAAATATCATTATAAATTCATGATCATGTGCCCCAAAACGACTGTAAAAGATTCAAATATCATTATAAATTCATGATCATGTACAATAATTTAATAAAGATTTGTGGAGATAAAAATCAATAAATGTAAAAAACATTTTTTTCTTTTTGAAAGTTATCTTTAGGTTAAGCCCTCAAACCCTTCACTATGAAACAAAATATCATTCATGACTTATTACTGTGATGTACTCGGTTGTTACTTTTAAAGGTAAAGACCAGTTATGGTCATGCGATTGCATTGTGAAAGAAACGTTGTGAAATCGATCAGAAAAGGTTGATCATCTAGCATAGATGTACTGCAATATTCTGGAATCATCAAAATGATAAGAAATTTGGCTAAGTCTTCATAAAGTTTAAGCACTGTACACAGAAAGATGTATATGGGACTACACACACGTGCGCAACATGTGTATTTCATATCTCTCAACAGGCAAGAGATACACTAATTTACCAATTATATCAATTAGTAGGTGGTTTCCCGTCAAAAATTTTATGATCATGTAATATTCAAAACATATTCTTTCACATGATTGGTAATTAGAGCTTCCATTTTATTTTTTGAAATTGGGGCGTTTCCAATACTGGTCTTTACCTTTAAGCAAATTTCATTAGACCAAATCCATGTGCCTTATCGATACTATGTCTACATCAACCTTTGTGAAATAGAGATGAATTTAAAATTATGAAAAACTCTGACCTCCATATCATTTTTATCTCGGATTCCCACTCCTTGCATACATACAATTATATATAAGGAAATAAAAGAGTCTTTCATCTAAGGTTGTAGTTTTTGTTGCAGTTCCTAAAATTCCAATGCAAATTCTAAAAAAGGAAGCAAATATATTTTCTTTTTCATTTAGGCTCAGTTGAGAATATTGTAAATGTAGAAATATTTGCGGTACATTATTTTTCACATATTTCGCGCTAAGATTGGCAAGCGCGAATTTTAGAACTCGCGAAAATATAAGCATGACTTATTATGCATGTTGTGAATGGGCTGAATTGTGTGCAACTCTAATTTAAGACCCCGTGAATATGTTTTGGGATCGCTCAGCGCGAAAAATTAATCAGGCTAAAATAACAGCGTTTACAGTATGAAAGGCATGGCAACACAAGCATATGCAAATGTGTTCACTCAACTTGCAATTGGGCAGACTTACCGTGGCTGAGTTTTTTTTTTTAAATAGCTTTTTCTTCTCAAGTTCTTTTGTTGAAGCGTTGGGCAGACTTACCGTGGCTGAGTTGTTCATGTGTCTATGATCCAGCAGATGGATGAGAAGAAGCCACATCTCTCTCAGACAGGTACATGGGAAGAGAGATGTCTGATGGACTTCAGTCAGAGATAGCTGCCAGTGAATAACACCATAACATTCTTAAAGTCTTTCAGATAAGTTAATAGCCCTACTAAGATAGAAATGTCTGATGGAATATATTCACAGATAGCTGCCAGTAAATAACATCATAACATTCTCAAAATCTTTCGAATAAGTTATTAACGACACAAGGTCAATTGTCATTGTCTTTTGTGGGCAGTGAATTTTGGAATAGATTACCTGTTGATGTCAGACTGACAAGGTCTAGAAATAGGTTTCGGAATTCTGTTACAAGTCATTTGTTGAATAATTCATGAATGAAATATCAAGTTTACAAAATTCATAAATCATATTTTACATTATTAGTTTGTATATTGTAAGACATTGTTGAGTACTGATTCTTGTTTTTTCTAAGTATCGATTGTAACAGTAAATTCATTATTTTTTGTTTTGTTACGTTACGTTCTCTAAACTGATATGTACCAAAATACTTTGTTTAGCTGTTTAAGGGGTTAGGCTCGACTAGCACATGTGCTATTATCTGGCCCCTTATACCAACCAATAGTTTCTCTTTCTGTATATGTAATTATTGTATAAAATGTATGGAATATATTGCTGTTGGTAAATAAATCAAATCAATAGCCCTACTAAGGGAGAGATGTCTGATGGACTTCATTCAGAGATAGCTGAGAGTAAATAACATCATAACATTCTCAAAATCTTTCAGATAAGTTAATAGCCCTACTAAGAGAGAGATGTCTAATGGAATACATTCAAAGATAGTTGCCAGTAAGTAAGATCATAATATTCTCAAATCCTTTCAGATAAGTTAATAGCCCTACTAAGAGAGAGAGATGTCTGATGGAATACATTCACAGAAAGCTGCCAGTAAATAACATCATAACGTTCTCAAAGTCTTTCAGATAAGTTAATAGCCCTACTAAGAGAGAGATGTCTAATGGAATACATTCAAAGATAGCTGCCAGTAAATAACATCATAACATTCTCAAGATCTTTAAGATAAGTTGATAGCCCTGCTAAGAGCTTGGATGAGGTCATAAGAATTGAAGTGAAATTATACATCTGGGCCCTGTCAATCAATCAATCAACCAATCACAACTTATTTGCAATTGATTAGATGACTTGCAATTGATTTGGATCAATCGCAACTCTTTGTAAGACAGGGCCCAGATGTCAGTTAATATAAATAACTCCCTATTTGGAAGACCCTATGACCAAATATCTTGAAATTGCCCTGCTAGATGTCCTGCAGGTATGTCTAATGTCCAATGGATTTTGTTCAAAGATAACTGCCAGTAAATAAAAAGATATTGTTATTGTAGATCTGAAAAAATACACTTTATATAAATTTCCTGTGTATTCCAGTCACTTTTTTTTTTGGGGGGGGGGGGGGGGGGGGGGGGGGGGGGGAGTCCAAAAAAAATCGCAACGACTCAGCCAGCCGAAAATTCGCTCAGTGGCGGGGCGGGGGGGGGGGGGGGGGGGGGGGGGGGGGGGGGGGGGGGGGGGGGGGGGGTAAGAGGACACTTTTGGGGGGGGGGGGTCTTGAAATTTGAAAATTTGACATTTTGCTGAGTTGGGGGGGGTAAGGTCCCCTTTCTTAGGTCAGCCATGGGGGTAATATTTTTTTTTTTTTTTTAATAATTAAAAAAAAAAAAAAAAATCCAAAGGGGGGGGGGGGGGGGGGGGGGGGGGGGTTTACACACATAAAAATACCAAGGGGGGGGGGGGGGGGGTTTAACCCCCCAAACACCCCCCCCCCCTGCGTACGCGCCTGTATACAGGTGTATCTTATGAAATTTAAACATGCACCGGTAAGATGAATTAAATTCAATGCATTTTCTCACCTGATTGTGACGAAGTGTAGCGATGGTGAGAAGGTCTTGCATCAATCTCTCAACTTGTTTGTTAAAACAATTCACTACTTCTATCTCATGAGATGACCCTATTAGAGAGAGATAGAGAGTGAGTGAGAGAGAGAGAGAGAGAGAGAGGGGGAGGGGGGGTGAGATATGCAAAGAGAACGGTATGGAGAGAGCAAAAGAAAACATGCATGAATTGTTTTATAAAAACAGGTTAACAATATGAACAAATAGACAACTCATTAAAAAATATTGAAAAAGTGAAACATCTTAGTGTGCATTATTATTTTGCCAGATATTTACTGAGGTAGAGAATTGTAATGCAGTTATATATCCATTTGACCAATTATTCAGCCTGCATTCTTATCATAAACATTCAAAGATCTGGACATACCTAGGAACAATTAATTCAACTATCCATTGATCAATTTTATCTTTTCCAAACGATTCAATATGATGAACCTATCTAAATTTTGTTAAGGATTATCGGTTACCTTCATGTTATGTTTGTGACAATGGTAATCTAAATTTTAATTAGGAGTAAATGAAACCAAAACAAAATGATGTTTTAAATACCAACATCAGTGGCAGATGCATAGAAGTAAAAGTCAAAGTAAACAGAGCTTTGAGAGTGGCAGCTCATGTTTATTTACCTGCAGTAGATACATGCAGATGATGGAGGATTTGAATGATGTACCACCTGACATCAAGATGACAATGAACAAGAAGATGATCATGTGACGCCTGTAAAAAACATTCAAGAAGTCAACATTTATTTGTATCGTGGCATTGGCCTGTTAAATACTAAGCCAGAGATCTATGTGGTCTATGAAAACTGTGTATTATCCATTAATCAAACCATTTCCAATGGTTTAATTTAGAGATCACTAAATTATTTTTATAATTCAAACTTCAAACAAGTATTCTATCACCCATTTCTTATATGCACAGGCAATGTAACATCACTTGTTCTATCTGAGATATTGAAGATTTCTTGTGATATTTGCCAAAAATATGGAAAGTCTTGAAATTGTGAGCTGACCAACTTTCTATGATGTGGGGAATATACTTCAAATCCAATCAATTATCAAGATACTCATACTGCACATATAGCCCCCCCCCCCTCCCTTACCTACAAGAACCACATTGCCAACACAAAGGCAAAAGTTGGAGCCCGCAACAGCATCCTCAAGAAGCTAGCCAACACCAACTGGGGGACTGATGCCAGAACAATCCGGACGACAGCCCTCGCGCTTTGCTTCTCTGCTGCGGAGTATGCATCACCAGTATGGAGTAGGTCGGCCCATGCACCCAAGATTGACCCAGCTCTAAATTCATCTTGCAGAGCGATCACTGGATGCCTAAGGCCAACTAAAGTAGAAGACATCTACCTGCTCTGCGGTATTGCCCCACCACACGTCAGAAGGTTGGTCTTGTCCCAGAAAGAAAAGGACAAACAAGAAAACAATCCACTCCACCCACTCTTCGAACAACAGCCAGTGGGCAAGCGGCTCAAATCCAGACACAGCTTCCTGCACTCGGTAGAGCCTCTTAATACTAGCCCTCACAACCAAAGGATGACTTTGTGGTCTAACCACCTTCAGACAACTCCACATAAACTCTCCCTCAGCCCGAAGGAATCCCTCGCAACCGGCTCCAGTGAGACTTGGCCTACCTGGCTTAGCCTCAACCGCCTAAGAACTGGCTACGGTCGATGCAGAGTCCTAATGCAGAGGTGGGGTCTAGGAGACGAACAAACGGCATGTGAATGCGGCCAGGAACAGACAATGGAACACCTGCTAGTCTGCCCACTCCTGCCAGAGCCATGCACCCAATATGACCTGGAGGCCGTTAATTGCCGTGCCAAAGCCTGTGCGTACCACTGGACGGGACTTGTGTAGTGACTCGATAAGAAGAAGAAGCCCCCCCCCCCCAACAGAATTTGTAGGTGTAAATAAATGTTGGTTCAGCTAAATTAAACGAGGAAAGAATTCTACATACCTGTCTATCTATGGCATACTGCCTTGATGATGAAAGTTCATTCAGCCTCCCAATAAACCTAGATACGTTATCTAGTTCAGCTGCTAGTCTTAGAGGGAAACCTTCTACTTGCTGACTGTAGAGAGATGGCACTTCATTACAGGCTGGAGCACAGACTAACTTGGAGGTCGTCAAATACCTGCAAGCGTAAACAATGTTTAATTGAATAGAAATGCATGTAATATTTCTATTAATGTAATATCAAATTAATTCATGGTCATACATTTCTGCAAGGTTAAAATATAAAATTTAAAGTGTATCAGTCACCAAAACATATTTTGCTTTCGATGTAAGGCATTGCATGTTGCTGTACTGAGTGAATAGTGCACAGGGCCCTTGTCGGACTAGGGTTCCGTGTGCAGTTTTATTTTTCTTTGTACTCCTCAACCGTTGATCTATAGCAAGCCAGGTATAATGTTTTAGGGTGATTTCATACATACCAGGGCTTAAATTAATCCAAGGCCACCAAGGCCAAGGCCATGGCCATGGATGCCCCTTTGATTGGCCTCAATGCCCCTCTCATTGGCCTTGGATTTTTTTTCTGCCCTTTCCAATTCTTCCTCTTTGTGCTGTAATATAGAAATGTGCCCTACAGAAAAGTGGCCTTGCCCTAAATATATTGAAATTTAAGGCCTGACATACTATCTATAACACCTATACACAAATCATTTTTTTAGGTGATTGGTACACATTCAACAACTAACGCACAATTCTGTCAGCAGTCTTCCCATGTAATCTCAGCCTCTCAGGCATAGTATTAAAAGTAAAGATCAGTTTTAGAAATGCCCCCCCCCCCTCTCAAAAAATGAAACTGATTATTTCAACTGGCTTCAGCGATCCAGTCGAACCATGTGATCAAGATTATATATACCAATCCTGTCTTGTTTTCTTTTTCTATACAGTTTAGGGGGCAATACAGCAAGTTCTATGTTTACTTTGTTTATAAAAATAATATGTTCCAAATACATTTATGAAAAAGGAAAATGAGTTTGTTTTGTTATGACCAACAAAATCACTTGATACAAAAAATAATAATCTGTAACTCCCCTTCTACAAGCACTTTTAATAAATCATGACCTGGGCTTTTAACTCTTTTCTACTTTTATATACAGCGTACACCTTCTTTGTAGTATCTATGCAATTATACAGTATGTACTATTACTTCCTTTGTTAATCAATGAGTGTTAAAAAAGTGATAATGAAACATTTGATACAAACCTGTGTATGAAGGAATGAATGTAGAAGAAGAAATGTAAGACTTGCTCTCTCAACTTCTTGCTACCTTCTATGAGTGGATCTGTGAAAAAAAATTAAAATCAGCTGTTAACTTATTCAAACAGATCTCTCATTTAAAAGCATCCATTTATTTTCACTGTAATCAAAATCAACATACCGGTATACACTTGTATTTAGCCAATTATCTACAAAAAATGAAAATGTCTCCAAAAACTAAAGGGTTAAAAAAAAGAGCAGTCCACTATGAATCTATAGAAATACTGCCCATATTATTAAGGTTATTTTTTTGTGCTGTTTGTATTTCTTTTGTTACTTTTTTCAAGAGGATTCACATTTGTATTATAGTAATATACTTGTAGGGATACTCGCAGTCCAGCAAACTTGATTGCATTATATGTGCAGTCTGAGCCTAGAATGTACTTCATGGTTCATCAAGTTTAATATCACTTATGCAAGCTCTCATTTCCATTCAGTCCTTTGTTGTGATAACAATCTGTAATGCCAAACAAGGAAAATAAATCAAACATCTGAAAAATATAAAACTTGGAGCCTACCTGTTAGAGACCAATGACTCTGCTTCCCCAGTAAAGACTCTATCCTACCAAGCACTTGTCTGACAGGCAGCAAGAGATGGAGAGTGAGACAGAAAGGAGAATCAGAGAGAGAGAGGTACAGAGAAGGAACAAGTGAGAGATAGAGAGAGGGACAGAGAGAAAGTGAGAGAGAGAGAAAGAGGGAGAGAGAGTAAGAGAGAGAGAGGGGGTGTGAGAGAGAGAGAGAGAGAAGAGAGAGAGAGAGAGAAAAGAGAGAGAGAGAGAGAAAAGAGAGAGAGTGAGAGTATAGCATTACTTTCTGCAATCTTGTCAAGTTTATCCTCATTCGGATATATGACGTGATAAACTGCAGCACCTTTTCTATCATGACATACCATAAGTGTAATATGGTTTACATTTCTCTCTTCTTCATCATGAATGTCATCACTGTCATCAACCCCATTGTCACCACCATCAACATAATAAGAATACTTTTAATCAACACTGTCCATAATTAGTACTACCATCATCGTCCCCATCATTGTTGGCCAAACAGTTTTTGAGCGTCAAGTAACGCCTGGCTGGAATGCTCCCCAGGGAGTGGAGATTGTGCACACATTGTGTGCGGGCAAGTAAATAGTATATCTGTAAAGCGCTTAGAGACATTTGTATTAAACGCTTTATAAAGGCGTAAAATTATTATTATTATTAAAATCATTGTCATCATCACTTTCATCATCATCACTAAAGACACCCAACACCACCACAATCACCAACCTTCTCCTCGGCCTCCTCCTCATCATCATCAACCATTTAAAGTCAAAGATACAGAAAGAACATTAGAATACATGTTTATACTGTATGTTCTCTTGCATGATTTAAAGATAAACTCCAGTACTGGTAAAAAAAAAAAAATAATTCTCACAGAATCAAACGATACTTACACTGAATGTTCAAGATTACAAATAAATGTCATGTGCCAAACAATTTTGGAAGAAAATGTATACTGGCTGAGTAATGAGCATAGAAAGACAAGGAAATCAAGGTAGTACTAGCCCCGACACCATGTGTGTTGTCCCATATATAGCTTTCTATGTGAGTGCTTGTTACTTTACCAAGACTCGGTCAAATTTATTATGATTTTGATGACTCCAGAACCTTGCAGTGCTCACCAATACTTACATGCTACATGATCAACTGTTTCTGATCCTTTCCACACCTTTTCTTTCACAATGCAATCACATTACCAGTACTAAAGTTTATCTTTAATGTAATAAGAGAAGGTGTATACAAAGGATAATAATTACCTCAGGGTTGAAAAAAGATGTGATATTTGGTCGAGAAGAGCTGTGGTGGTGACATAGCTAAATCCAAAGAGCTGGGTAGTCAATCCTTCATGCTGTTCCACTACGTTACCATCAAGAAGCCTGAAAGATCAAATCATTTATTTCATGATTTCTATTGATACGTGTATGACATAATGCTCTGAATATAACCAAGTGAAAAAGTAAAAAAGAAAGGTTTCAATAAGGCAGTATATTTTATTATGTAAACCCCATATATACCAATTCTTGTCCTCTTGTTGGTCGAAACGGCAGACATGAAGTTTTTTTCTGACTGCTGCGTAGTATAGCGAAATTTGTATTGACCGGGCATAGTTCTACTTGCGTGTAAAATGCAAGGACGCAATGGTTAGGTATGAAGTCAACAGTGGATATGTACATTGCACTTAGATTTGTATATTTCTCTAGCCTTTACAAATAAATTCACTCTGACAGGCATATTTTAACAAAAGATCTCTTTTTGAGAATAGACACAAGGGGATGCGGAATAGAAAACAAAATATTGACTGCTTATTTTTCGGGTCATGGTTAAAACTATAGCTCCTCGTCGATCTCGAGACTGCTCTTTGCCCCTCGACTCCATCTCGGGTCACAGTTCAGTTTAGAGACCACCTTGGGCAATAGTTTTAACAGTGCAAAGCACCCAATATTTGTATACTATACAAGGATCCATGCCCTGTTTCATAAAACTTTTTTTTGAATTTTTTCAATAACAAATGCTGAATTTCTATGACAAATTTGCTCTCAGCCAGTCAGATGCCACGATTTTAGTAGCTTATATAAATAAAGATATCATAACTTGTTATTGATAACAAGTTTTATGCAACAATAACCTGATTCAATGGACAAAAAAACTGTGACTGTATCGGTCAACTACACACTGTTGAGCATTTACTGACTTATTAAGTAAAAGCTGATAAGAGTCAGAGAGTTAGATATGCCTGCTTGCAAGCAATCGTTAATTCACATGTAACAGAGGGATTAATGCTCTACCTAGTGGTTGCAGAACCACATATAATACACTAAAGTATTCACAGATCTTTGTATGTATGTAACCCATTGACTACTGAACTCTCTTGTTCCCATCTAGGCGTTAAAGCCCCTCCTCACTAGTTTGGCATGGAGGGATTAGACCTCCCTGCAAGGTCACTGGCAGGTGGTTATCCGATCAAATTGGCTCTCAATTAACATAAGAAAAAGGGCATCATGGGGGATCAACGGGTACCACTTAGGCATTATTGGCTGTATAGAGGGCGCAAGTAGCTATAAGTAGTGCAGTTGGGCTTTAATACAGGAGCCACTTAATGGGTTAATGTAAGCTACATTTATTTAAATGTATTACTAACCTGCCTGCAAATGATAATGACCTGACTGTAGCGAAAGCAATTACCCAACAAATACTCTTATAGTTAAGCAAGAGACCACTGACCTGCTAATAGTTTGGGATGCTAGGAATCCATTGCTATCGGGTAACCATGACGATGAGCTTTGTCTGTGACGAGAACATTCAAACCTAGGCGGTTCCCAAGGGATATCTGTGTGAAGTATAAACCATCAAGATTCTAAAACAATCTGTCCTGGTTTTCTAGGCACCCTGTTTACAACAATACTAAAATAAAGTTTTTTAAAAAAACAAAAAAGAAGAAAAAAAATGAAAATGAAAAACTCTTTGATAGCAAAGTTATTTGAAATATCAATAACCAATTATTGTTGATTTGGAAATAAGACTGTTAAATTAATTCCTAAAGACTAAATGGTGAGGAATTTAGCTTGAAACTTCCTACATATCAAATCACAATGTTAATATGTACCAATATATGTTTATCCTAGCCTGGACAAAAGAATTTGTCCCAAATTCAACCATCAACAAAAATAAACTTCTATACAATGAGGAAGTAGTATTGGCAATCATACTCTCTAAAAAAAAATGAGTGATCACGGACGTCACTCCTCTGGAGAGTGAAAATGTAGTGAAAATAGAGTGAACATTCACTCTTTTCTTCCTAGAGAGCACTCTAAAATCAATCGATTTTCACTCCTAAACAAATGATCACGGACGTCACTCCCAAGAAAGTGAAAATAGAGTGAAAATTCACTCTCTTTTTTAAGAGAGTATACAAAAAGGGTGTTGTAATCAAAATGCTTACCTAGATCCTGACTAAGTTTGATTCTCTTTTGTTGTTGATCATCGCCTTGTGGTAAGACAGGAGATAACGGTGGTGTGATGTCATCAGACAAAGACACAGAGAACGGAAGGCTATCAGACTCCATCCTTTCAAATCAGTTCAATCCTTAGTTCTGTGCTAGTGAAGAATAACATATATATACATGTACAGCAAATTGAATACAGAATACAACAAAACAACAATACAAATCTAAAGTATAACTATAAATAGGAATGATCTAAACCTACGTGTAGGCTATGCTAAACATAAATACAATATGGCAAGTATACATGAAAAGTGAGTAACTCCACATGAGCAATATAAATACAAACAACAAAAAACTACCGTACATAATTGTCCTAATTATCTAAAAAATTATCAGTTTCATTTTGTACATGTAAGTGAGATGTGATTGGATTGTTAAGGTTTATGCAGAATAACAAAATACAGCATAATTGTCCCTAGAAAGATAAACCTAAAACCTAAATCACTCTTTGCTTTCCAAAGGACAAACAAAAAACATAATGGAATATTATAGTATTAATCACTGCTTTGAGAGAAATAGTTGTTTTTATACGCTCAAGGGAAGGTTAGAATTGTGCTATTGCCCAAGGCGTGCCGATGGCAATAGCCCAATTGTAACCTTCCCGAAAGCGTATAAAAACAACTAGTCTATTTCTTGAATATTTGAATAGCAACACTGAGTTCCTATGGGGAGTATATTTATTCAGATGGTCATATCTCAGCCAATAATTAACATATTCAGTGCATTAATATTAAGTTATCAAATTTTGATAACTGTAATTAGGACAAATGACATAGAAGTCTAGTCTACCAACCTAATTTACATCTGATTTAGAAATCAGAAAATTAGATCTAAATAAAGAAAATCGGGGAGAGAATGTCGTGAACGAAAAGATGTTCATCGCTGGCTCTAGCTACCGCCACGGTACGAGATCTCTGTAGTACCGTCTGTATATGGGGAATGTCAACAAATGTCAGTTTTTATTAATGAAATGACCCATATCAGACGGTTATTTCTGTCTAGACCTATAGACCTACTACCTAGATCTAGTCTAGATCTAGACTCTAGATCTATCTGTAGCGGCTCTTACATTCGCCCTACTTTTATCGTACATTCATGTCTCCAGTATTTTTCCATCACGTTACTTATTTATATACATTTATTCAGGCCATGTGTGTATTTCTTTCCAATCGCGCATCGTGGTTCCGCACTGTTCACCCCGCGTATTTTCAACGCCACGAGGTTTTTCTTCACTCCTGCATCCATCTTCAGTTGAGTCACACGCTTCATGATTTCCTCTCCGGGCTTGATTCTACCGTGCCTATCACCTCTATCGGCACATCTTCACTTTCTCTGCCGTCGTCAATGCTGGCAGTTTCCCTGTGGAACAGTTAAAATCAAGATCCGACATATATGGTGCTTGGTTATCCGCTGGGAGCTGCCAGTTTCTTCACCGGTAGCCTTTCACCCACATGAGCTCGACTCACCGCAGCTCATCTAAACATTCATCATCAAAGTTCGGCTCATCAATCGAGCGACTCACTGCTCAGCACCACTACCGGCTTTGATGTCTGCATTTTCCACCTTGGCCTCCGACATCAAACGACTCACTGTTTCATCGTCGAGCGTCACTTTCTTCTCTTCTCTTCTAGCCTGAGAGCTTCTTCACTATCTTCATCACGGACGTCAGCGTCGAGATTCTTCACGGCTCTTCAGCCACGACAACGAAGCTACATTTCCGCCTCTTCAAGCCTCCGCACATTTCATCGCGTGAGCCCCTTCCTTCGTTCTCAACTCTCTTCTTTTCATTGGACTTTCGACGTCATTTCATATATGTCGTAAGCTCTATTCATTCATTATGTACATCGCATTTATTCATGTTCATTATCATCATTGATCATTATGTAATCTCCGTGCAATATTCACATTTACCATTAATGCATTTTTATTCTGAGTCATCGACTTCATCGACTTGCATGTGCTTGGCTACACTTTGTAAGTGTACGGCCAGCCTCATCAGTACCCAATAAACATAACGAAAAGGGAATACTTTCTTTCATGTATTTTATTGTCAGTGCAACCTTGTTTCCTCGTAGCTAAAATAAAAATAAGAGTTATGTTGTGTGACGAGTGAACACACTTTCATATATCCATTCACATTACCTCACACACTCATAATCATTTCTCTAGATCTACATACTAGATCTAGTCTAGGGTCTATCCATTTCAATTTGACTCACATCTTCATATCCCCACACTTCACATTAATAAATGAGTATTGGTAATACAAGATGGTCAAACAATTCACCTTGAATATCCAATGGCATTTTGAGTCTTTGAACCTTAGTTTAATGACATAGGTCTAGATCAATTAGAGAAGAGGCCTTTGATACAGTGCCAGGTGGTGATCCGCACCCCGCCCTGCTCGGCGGAGTGATGAGTGAGCGTGTGCTAACTTGTACTCTAGCTCCTGAGCGGAGCCCCAGCTCAAGCTGGCCGGTCGCGGTCAGGAAACAGCTAGGATACTAGTAATATTACTACGACCTACTCACCATGTAATTGGTATAACCTCCTACTTATTTCAGCATATCCAGTAACAGTTTCCTGATCCTCCTTTAGAATTTTTAAATCTCGATCTCCTCGGCTCAGCTCGGCTGTATTCTTCAAGCCTACATACAATTCGAAATCAAATAGCGCGCGCTGTGCTGTTGGTGACGTCTGGGGCTCGTTCCTAGAAACCAACGACAAGACAGTCATAACTTTATCCGCCAACTACGGAGATGTCTCTGATCTTCCTAAACCGTTTCACGAAGAGCTTACTAGCTAGTATCTCGTGAGATCGATATTATCGGCGAGAAGAGGAGCCGAGAATTAGCCTTAGTCGCAATACCACCAGATTATTACAAAATTAATATTAGGGAAAATGCAATTATTTAAATGAATTAGTAATAAAAAAAAATTGAAAATGATACCAAGAAATAAGAGATCCAATATACTTCCAAATTTGTGTAGATTAAACAATTGAAGTACTTGTAAAATATAATTGTGAGTTTTTCATTACATGACCAGTGAATCAGTTTTGTTGTTGAGATGGGCACCCCCCGAATATTTTCATTTGATAGTTTATAAAAATACACCCTTATATTATTCTTTGAAAAAATACGATGTAATGAAATTTGTGTTCAATGTTTTTGGCGTCAGCACAATATAAAAATTACAAAACTTCAATATTTCAAAGGTTAAAACATATGTTTAAACCATTCACTTTACATAATTGAAAATAGAATTCATCTCGAAATTAATATGGGTCTGAAAACTAAAGAATACACTTCAAACTATGGCTTGCCTGCCGTGGCAAAATACATATCCCTTCGACGAGTTTACAATGTGGAAATAAAGGCGTATAATCAGTTTATTTAAGTGGAAAATCCTTAAATACAAACATGGCATATTTTCATGAGATTATCAAATACAAAAAACGATAATTCACTGTTTAAGTGAATGTGTAGAAAAATCATAGTTGGAGGATTTATTGTCCTTTTTTGCCAGCCATAGTCTACCCAATAAATGACATGTGGTGGCGCTGCCCATCGACTAATAGTTATGACAGAGATACGACGGTGTCAGAGGTGTCATAACTCCTTAGTCAGGATGTTGTCGTTGATCTTGGCAAAGAGGGCTTGGTGAAACACGTAGCGGACAAGTTGTTCACTAACGCTGATTTAGTCAAGAAGTTAGACTTATGACGGTTTGTAGGAACGGGCCCCAGGTCGAGCGCGCGGTCGTCACGATCACTGCTGTATTACTGTATCCGGTCGGCGCGTTTCCGTTTTACACCCTGCCCTAGGCTTTTCGGCAAGAAATTACACGAAACATGCTGTATCCGAAGTCAAAGTTTGTTTATATCGACGTCAAGAATAGCGAAGCCAAAGCTTATGTACAATTTCAATTGGGGATGCGAGGGTCTTCTTGTTCAAGACGGTTTTCCCGATATATTATTGTTTTGTTATCGCTGGGCTAAATTTTGCGAGCTGATCACGCATCCTCACGCTCTTAGAGTATTGCGTATTAATGGATAAAAATAAATGATACGACTAGGAAGATCAACTAGTTAGTATAGAGAGTTAGCTAGCGCTACGTGACGTTTTCAGAGTTCTGGTGGTGTGCAGGGGCCCGTTCCTACAAACCGTCATAAGTCTAACTTCTCGACTAAATCAGCGTTAGTGAGCAACTTGTCCGCTACGTGTTTCACCAAGCCCTCTTTGCCAAGATCAACGACAACACCCTGACTAAGGAGTTATGACGCCTCTGACACCGTCGTATCTCTGTCATAACTATTTAGTCGATGGGCAGCGCCATCACATGTCATTTATTGGGTAGACTATGGCTGGCAAAAAAGGACAATAAATCCTACAACTATGATTTATCAACACATTCACTTAAACAGGAAGTTATCATTTTTTACATTAGAAAATCTGTTGAAAATATGCCATGTTTATATTTTAGGTTTTTTCCACTTAAATAAACTGATAATACGCGTTTCTTTTCACATTGTAAAATCGTCGAAAGGATAGCTATTTTGCCACAGCATGCAAGCCATAGTTTGATGTGTATTCTTTAGTTTTCAGACCCATATTGCTTTTTTTTCTTCAAATGTGTAAAATGCACAGTTTAAAACATGTGTTTTAACCTTTGGAATGTTGAAGTTTTGTCATTTGATTATTCAACTGATACCTAAAACATTGGACATAAAGTTCATTACATCGTATTTTTCTAAAAATAATATATTGGTGTATTTTTATAAACTATCAAACTAAAATATCCGGGGGGTACCCATCTCAAGAACCAAACTGATTCACCGGTCATATAATGAAATACTCACAATTATATGTTAAAAGTACTTCTATTGTACAATCTACATACATGTGGAAGTATATTGCATCTCTTATTTCTTGGTATCATTTTCAATCTTTTTTATTACTAATTCATTTAAATAATTGCATTTTCCCTAATATTAATTTTGTAATAATCCGGTGGTATTGCGACTAAGGCTAAGTTTTGGCTCCTCTTCTCGCCGATAGTATCGATCTCACGAGATACTAGCTAGTAAGCTCTTCGTGAAACGGTTTAGGAAGATCAGAGACATCTCCGTAGTTGGCGGATAAAGTTATGACTGTCTTGTCGTTGGTTTCTAGGAACGAGCCCCAGAGCGCCGAGGCAAGATGTGGACGACTAGACTCCGAATACCAGTCGGTTTGTAAAATTTTATTGGAGAAAAGCCTAGGGCAGGGTGTAAAACGGAAACGCGCATCCGGTCGGGTGTGGGAGGGGCGGGATATGCGCGGGAGGGGTTGATTTGGAATCATTGATCATATCAAATCAACCCTTAGAACTTCATCTGTGTGATTGTAGGGATGACAGTGATTGGTCTACTCATCATGCTTACAGTATTAATTGCACAGAAACGAAACTATATATTGATTTAAAGGGAAAGTCCACCCCCAAAATAAGGTTGTTTCGATAGAGGCAGAATAATAAGAAAATCAGGTGAGTGAAAGTTTGAGCAAATTCTGAATGAAAATAAGAAAGTTATGAATTATTGAAGTTGTGATCAATCAAATACAAATTGGCAACTCTGTGACTTATTATACGAGCTCTCCTTCATTTGCTTTGTGCATATATATTCCATAAAATCATGTTTTCTTCGTTATTGATGACGGAATATATATTTGTTCCTTGCAGGGGGAGTATAGAAACATATTTGCAATTATTATATTTAGGGTGCATGTATGGTTGAAATTTTTCTTGAGGGAAAATGAAAATTTTAGATTTTTTAGTACTGAGCAAATGGAAGTTGAGCTCGCATGATACGTCATAGAGTTGCCAATTTATGTTTGATTGATCACAACTTCAAAAATCCTAACTTCCTTATTTTTAATCGGAATTTGCTCAAACTTTCACTGACTTGTTTCTCTCATTTTTCTACTCCTATTAAAACTAACTTAATTTCAGGGTGGACTTACCCTTTAAAGTTTTCCACATAATATATTAGGGCCATTGCCATTAATTGGAACAAATTGTTTCTTGTACAAAATTAAGGCTGAAAGAGTAGGGCTAACAACCCCTGTAGTGTAGACCGTACTTATATTTCTTTGATATCCAATCAATTAAACAAGTGCTACCAGAAATAGTATTTTATGAGATGGTATTAAAGGTAAAGACCAGTATTGGAAACGCCCCAATTTCAAAAAATGAAATGGAAGCTCTCATTACCAATCATGTGAAAGAATATGTTTTGACTACATGATGATAACAAATTTGCCGGGAAACTGCCTACTAATTCATATATTTGGTAAATTTGTTTCTCTCATGGTCTGTGAGAGATATAGGGTAGTCCCATATACATCTTTCTGTGTATAGTGCTTGTAACTTTACGAAGAATGGGCCAAATTTCTTATCATTTTGATGCTTCCAGAACCTTGCAGATGCTAGATGCTAGATGATCAACCTTTTCTGATTGATTCCACAACGTTTCTTTCACAATGCAATCGCATGACCATAACTGTTCTTTACCTTTAAAGAGAGAGGGAATATATATGCCATCTAGGAATGTGATATATATTCAGGGCATTCATTTTCCCCATAATTTTCTTATGTGTGTGGGTGCATGGTAGCTAGTTTTTTGGTAATGATCATTTTGTTATTCCTCCTGTCTCAGGGGTTACAAAGGGGAGGGGTGATCTACAAACATCCTAAGAAAAGATCCTTACTGATTTTAGAAATGTTTTAGAAAAAAGGAATCCTAGCCCAATTAGTGGTCAGAATCTTTCTCCAGCAACTTTCTTGTATTCAGCCCTTTCCCCAAAGATCATGAGATCAAAAGTATGGTGTATTATTTGATGTTTAATCAGTGGAGTAATATAACTTAATAATGTGACTGCCTTGCCTTTGTCCACTCCGAGGATTTGCCTTTCGCAAAACAAAGATTTACCTCTCTTTGACCATCCTTTTTTTCTCATTTTGATCTCATTTTATCAATATTTAATCTTACATACTTTACCACTAGCAAAACATCAACATATTTCAAAACTTGTAAAACTTGGCTGAATGTCACACACACGCATACCAGCTGAAAAGCACCAACGAATATTTACACAAAGGAAAGACAACCATGAGAACTTCTTAAAATCTTTATCTTGTTTACCATTCATATTGTATTAAACACAGTCACTTCAAACAACAGCAGTTACAAATTAAAGACTTGATCATAATTGATATGAAGTACTGCAGGAGCAACCAAAAAACCAAAGTCTTAACTACACAATAGATAAACAAGAACCAAAGTAAAGCACAGTACTGCATAAAAGTGGATATAGGCATAGGAAAAGGATAGCAACCAGTTGTGTAGGATCGTTTTCTATCATGACGGTGGTTTGTTACTTGCAAGAAGTGAAGATAATGGTGGTCATTTGAGTTTGGGGTGATTAGAATTAATTAATGAGAACGAAATCCTATTTGCATGAAGGAGAGGATATAGGCATTGCCATTGATTCTGTCAGGTAACAACATCGACAAGGAGTGTTGAATGGAGTAACAAGTTTAAGAAACATAGTTATGATTTTTATTTTTGTATATCGGTCAATTTCATTTTATTTAATTAAATTCTGTTTCAATAAAAGCATGTACAAAATAATGTAAATTCAATGTTGACATATATAAAACAATGTAATTAGCTCGTATAAAACAATGTAATTAGCTTGTATAAAATACATTATAGAAATAAAAATGAAAATGATAACGGAATATTGTTGATCTAAATGAAACAGAGGGGCATGCTAAAGAAGCGATGCTTGTATGGTGCATGCCCCAACATTATATCCATAGGCAATTACAAAAGAACAATAACACTAGAACCACTGAATGAAACAAACCACTTTATAAAAGTTAATGAATGTAGCAAATACAATATCAATTATTGAAACAGAATAGGCCTATAACATTTAAGTCACAGAGAAAGGGCTACACCACCGCACATACTGAATTCGAAAAAGTTATGTGCTATCTGGTAATGACTTACCTACAATCATTTATTATTGAGTATCATACCATGACGAGGGCCCTATTTCATCAAACTTGTTATCAATAACAAATGCTAAATTTACTATAAAAGATAGGTTCTCTGCCAATCAAATGCTACAAATTCAGTAGCTTATAACGGTTATCGTAACAGTATCCAATCACCGACTGACCCTATCGAATGCTTTTTATAAAACAATTAATTCTTGGTTAATATCGAGAGTGCGAACAAGCACAAGCGAAACGATTGAGCAAACCTTTTCAAACTTTATTATGGTAACAATAGAATTTGTCATCAAAATATAATAGATAACAATCATTACAAAACCATCTCACTTCTCTGATAGGAAATGGTATTGCCTGAATAAGTATTCAAAAATTCACCAGAAAAGGGGGGGGGGGAGATGCACTCTGCCTCATGATTGTGAGGTATTGTGCCCCCCCCCCCTTGTTTTTTAAATAAATGTTTGTTACTGTATACCTCAAAATAAAGATGTAATCTGTTGTGTGCATTCATTTCAGAGTTTTACAAATCACACATTTTATGTATACATGTATATCATAAACAGTATATAGCATTCTATTTTCTAGCATTTTTCTAATTTTTTGCCATGTTTGCATTACGGAATGACAGAATTACTTTTACAGGGACACTTCAAGCTTGTATATAGGTAGAATTAATACAAAACAAAAAACACAGTGAAAATCAAGCCCACCAGGGTATCACACTATGTATGATACAGGCTTTTCCTATGCCATACTCATCTTCAAAATATTATATAAACCGCCAAATAAACCCATAATGATCAAACATCAGTTGATAATACAAATGTTTTGTGCATACTTAAAATACAAACTTAGTTACAAAGAAAATGAAAAAGTGTTAATTCATATACATGTAGCATAAAGCCTTACCACAAGTTTGGTTATTTTAAAAAAAGAATATGAGAAATGTGCTAAAACATGAACTATTGCATAATGCATATTATTAACAAATTACCATGATCTTGTCTTACTACGGACATCTGATATTAATATATGTTTTCATATCATGCGTCGACACTCCTGAGAAAAACGCACTTAATATTTCATCTTTAAGAAGGGAGCAATGCTCAAATGGTATATTGTTCTTGATTATTCGTCTACTCGAAAATAAGAACTGAAAGACTTTTGCATGCATTTCCTAACTTGGAAAGTTATCTCTACGAACGTGGGGAAAGAGGTACCATCTTGTACAAAAACTTGATAGCAAACTATTCTATAGGGAAGCAGGAAAAAAAGAGAAGGCGGCTAGTGAAATTTGAATGAAATCGGACAAAATTGAGAAAGTTATGAATTTTTGAAAGTGGTCATCGCTATAGGGGATCTTCAAATCGTTGATGTCTCTGCAATATAGAGGTAAACAACTTGTCCATTTGTACATGTATCAACACACAAAATGACAGAAATTGCAATTTTTCAAAAATATATGACTCGAGAGGGGCTATCTCTTTAGAGGATCGATAATATACTATCAATAATTGTAGTTTGAGTAATGCCCAAAGGGAGTAGGCACTTAGCAAAAGTACAGAAATGCAGGGTTTTTTTGTTCACAACAAACAGGAGAGTTATCCACGACTACGTCATAATCCACTGACCAAACTGCTAATTTGAGATTTGCATAGACTTCATGATCTTATATTTCAAACATTCATAACTTTCTTTTTATTGGTCCGATTTATTTCAAACTTTTCCATTCTGTTTCTCTTATTTTTCTGCCTTTATACAAACATACTCATTATAAGGGTTTGATGGCCCTTTGAATGTCTATTTGAGTGAATCATTAACTACAACTTATGTAAATATTAGGTAGACACCTAGGCCTACAATTCTAAACGAAATGGGAAATTCCCAGAAATAAAATCCATTTGTAGAAACACGATCTTTAAGTCCACCTAATATTACATTCAAAGTCAAATAATGTTTTTTCTTCATGAATCTTGTTTTTACAGTACAGTGTATCTGATAGATGTGATTTTACAGTGTTTTCATAGAATGCAGACACAAATCCTTCATTTCAGTTGCCATTCTAGCCTGGCACATACACTCATTAATTCAAACCACAGTGAGGAGTTCGCTAGCATTTGTAAATCCTAAACTTTTGACCCCATCCGAGTCAAACCACCAATCTGCAGGGCCCGTTTCATAAAACTTGTTATCTATATCAACTGCTAAACTTCCATGACAAATTTGGTCTCAGCCAATCAGATGCCACGGTTACAGTAGCTTATAACAGTAGCTTGTAACTCGTTATTGATATCAAGTTTGATGAAACAGGGCCACGGATTCAGAACACACCCATTCCTGGCCAATGGCCGGGGTAACTTAATTCAGCCTACCTGTCGGTTTGGTTTCTGTCTGGTTGGAGTGACTAGGATATGAGAGTCGAGAGTTGGTGTGACTAGCATACGAGAGTCGAGAGTCAATATCTTTATTTGAAATCTAAGTCACTACTATATAAACACTTCCAATTAATATTCAGTATTACAAAAAAAAAAAAAAAAGAGATAATTAAACCACTGTCTATCTACTTATCCAGCAGAAACATGAATAAGTTCAGGGTTGAACTGAAGAGAATCAGATGATTTTATTCTGTAATTTCATCTGATGGCTGTTCCGACGTCCACAGCTGTCGAGGAAGAAGAGAAAAAAGAAAACAGTAAGAATAACACTTGAAACATATTCTACTGATTAGGCCCTTATAACTCAATGTTGAGTTTCCCCGTCGCCCGTCTGCACTGTAATTTATCGGCGATCGAAAATATGAATATAAATCATTATTTAAAAAAAAAATGTTTTGATTGTTTAAAATGGACTTGTGTTTTTGTTTTAAAACAATTCTCTTTTTTTTTACTACCAGCTTCCACTGTATAACTCTTTAACAAATCTATCCAATTGAATTTAACATAATAATAGTTACTGTTCATCTTCTTTAATGCATGAAGGAACATTCTTCTGTTTTACAAAAGCCTCCAAATATTAAACAAAATTGAGATCAGGAAAGAATAAAGAAATTGAAAAAGTGAAAACAAACATTTAACACAGAATAAGTGTGTGGTTTTTTAAAACAATATTTGATGTTTGTATTCATGAAAATAGCCAAGATATCCTAACAATGTGTATTAATGAGATGTTCATACATTATTAAACTGGAAATACACAGGTTGAACCAACAAAAATGAATTAGGTGTTCGTAAAAAGGTTAACATAAAGGAATCTTGCAAATAATGAATAATGAATAATGAAATAGTTGCCACATTATGAGCTTAAAAAAATGTGATGGGAAACTCAAAATTGAGTTATAAAGGCCTCACGTTGTCTGAAATGTCAATGCTCCCAAAATCAGCAATTAAAACATATTTGGTACTTCCTGTCCTATCACCCACTTCTATAGTGTGCTTGTTCGGTAACTTGAATCAAGACTACCACTATAAGGCATTAACTGAAGCTCAATAAAATCTTTATTTTTGTACTCCGTTTTTATGAGGGCTATGATAATGATAATAGTAATATAAGAGCTTAAAGATAAAGACCAGGTCATGCGATTGCATTGTGAAAGAAACTTTGTGGAATCGATCAGAAAAGGATGATCATCTAGCATATAAGTATTGGTGTGTACTGCAAGGTTCTGTAATCATCAAAATGATAAGAAATTTGGCTCAGTCTTTGTAAAGTTACAAGCACTGTACACAGAAAGATGTATATGGGACTACGCACACGTGCGTATTATCTATTTGGCCCCAATAGATAAACTAATTTACCAAATATATCAATTAGTAGGCGGTCTCCCGGCAAAATTTTATCATCATGTATTAGTCAAAACATATTCTTTCACATGATTGGTAATAAGAGCTTCCAGTTCATTTTTTGAGAGGGGGGCGTTTCCAAAACTGGTCTTCACCTTTAATACTAATGTTTATAAGAGGTGTACTATGATTACCCTGGCATAAGTAGAGCGCCATCAGGCATTCAAGGAATTTCTTCCTTTCTGGTACCTGAAGAGGTGTTGTGGTCGAGTGGATATGTCACCGGACTGTGGATCACAAGGTCCGCGGTTCAAGTCCCGCCGCGGCACTAATGTCCTTTGTCAAGACATTGATCTACATTTGACACTCTCCACCAAGGTGTTAAATGGGTACCCGGTAGGATGCAAAAGTTAAAGTGGTTTAATAGATGACGCCTGGCTGGAATGCTCCCCAGGAGTGGAAAATGTGCATACATTGTGTGCGAGTAAGCCTGAATCCGATGACCGGGTTATAACATATATCTGTAAAGCGCTTTGAGAGGGCCTGGGGTTATAATTATTATTATTGCCCATTCACATCACCTGGGTGGAGAGTGACAATGTTGATTCATTTCAAAGGACATTAGTGCCGCAGCGGGACTTGAACCACCAACGTTGCGATCCACACAAGTCAGGTGACAAATCCACTAGACCACGACAACCTTACAAGTAAACCTCTTAAGTACTTACAGTTAAGTTGTCCCTAAGGAGCTGCATGATTAGTGTACTGTCTTTGTATGAATCCTCCTTGAGTTGATCCAGCTCAGCTATAGCGTTGTCAAATGCCTAGAAAATGTTTATAAGGGGAGAAAAATAAAAATTGTTAAAGTTTGTAACTGCTCTGTCAAACCCTAGTATCACAAAAGTAAATTTAGTACTGTTTGCAGAGAAATTTAAAGGTTACAAGAAATTCTACTCATCGGTTTTCTCTTGGTATGCTTTGAACATGTGGATTGATTATCGTTGGGAGACAATTCAAGGGCCCTAAATAATATAGACAAAAATGTTCTGTTTCTTGAAACAAGATTTTCACTTCCTACGGTATTTCAATATTTGTTCAGGTCTAACCTTTTCACCAGAGCGAGGATGGCGAGTTTGAAACCAGACTGGACTATGAATTTTCAAGAAATACCATCACCACCCCAGGACTGTGCATGTTTTTACAAGGTAGCTGCCATATGTTAAACAGAAACGATTTTACAAATGAATAATATCATTGAAATTAATTGAAGCACCTAATATACAAAGTATCACAGAGCTCAAAAGTTTAATTAAGTATTAATTTGAGGAGCAATGCATTATCAGCATTGGGGCTATTCCATGAGAAGAAGGACATGACATCAAAAAAAGAAATGTACCTCTTATGTTAATTCTTTGATTTATCACTAACCTTATGCCATGGATGTTCATAAAACATTAGGGCCTTTCAAATTCAATACAATTTTTTTTTCATTTTTGTTGATTTCCTAAGATCTCAAACTATCATCAAAAACGTACATGTGGGACTGTAGCTGAAAAAAACCCAATTTATTGCAGATTACACAGGATTCTTGTAATATTTTTTCCTGAAAATTTCGCTAAATGGAAAAAGATGAATATATTTCCATATTCTAAGGGGTCCTGTGGTATTTAATCTATTACATAGGGGTGAAAATGGCCCCCGGACAAAATGTAACGCGAGTTACCGACATATTTGCTTCCTGCATTTTACTAGTCCATTGTTTCTTATCTTTAATATTGTGATCTTATACTAGTAAGTCACAACCTACTATCAAATTAAAGTAGGAAAGATTTTGTCAAGATTGTCTAGTATGAGGAGAAAAGAGGGTCTCGTAGAATTGACCATGTCCTTTTTTTGTAACGCGAGTTACCGAAATTCAATAATCCAAGAATCTAAAAATAATTGTTCTTCAATTTTCTTTTTTGTTTCATTCAGTTGTTCTATATCTACCCTGTCCATATTTGAAAAAAGTATCTTGTAGATCCTAGCAGTTCTAAAGATATAGGCACATTATCGTGTCAATGTACCCATTAAGTGTAACGCGAGTTACCATGGAATGGCCCATTGGCATATTATTACTATTTTTATCATTTTGGTTATTTATCAATTTATTATTACTAATTATATATATATATATATATATATATATATTTTTTTTTTTATTTATTTTTTTTTTTTTTTTTTTTGAAATTAATTAATTAATTTCTTTCTTCTTTTTTTTTGCGGGGGTCATTTTTCCAGGGGTTAACACATACAAACAGGGCTTCCGGCGAATGACATTTAACAATTTGAAATATTATTGGCAAGATGAGTATTGGCCTAAAATGGTTTACCTCCTTAGCAACTGTACAGGCTTTCTTGGGCTCGTTACGGATTTCATAGTAGAAAACTGAGAAGTTGAGTGCTAGACCGAGATGAATGGGATGTGTTTTAGCAAGCTGCTGGCTTGCCTTCATTGCTGCCAGGTACGCCTCTTCAGATTTACCGGCACAATCTGCAGAAAAGAGACGAGATTTATCTTAAAGATAAACTTGAGTTCTGGTAAAAAAAAAGAAAATTAATTCTCACAGAACCAAACAAAACTTACACTGAATGTTCAAGATTACAAATTAATGTCATGTGCCAAACAATTTTGGAAGAAAATGTATACTGGCTGAGTAATGAGCATAGAAAGATAAGAAAATCAGGTAGTACTAGCCCCGACACGATTTGTGTAGTCCCATATACATGTACATATTTCTGTGAACAGTGCTTGTTACTTTGTTACTTGTGATGCCTCCAGAACCTTGCAGTACACACCAATACTTACATGCTACATGATTAACTTTTTCTGATCCATTCCAAACCTTTTTTTTTACAATGCAATCGCATGACTAGAACTCAACTTTATCTTTAACATGTGAACTAAAAATGACTATTGAAATTCATACATGTACATGTACATGTAGATGGCTGAGTAGTAGAGCAGAGGTCTCATAATCAGGAGGTCCCGGGTTCAAAACCAAGTTACGGTGCTTGCGCCTTTTGTTAAGACATTAATCCTCATTACCAAATTCGCTGCTCGATCATGCAGCCATTAAACGCACACAATACTTGAACTCTCAAATCGCGGCACATGATAAAACAAGCTTTATTTGGCTACAACACAACAACAATAAAAAAAAAAATGAAATTTTAAAAAATCTGAAAATTCTGGATTTTCAGGTCCTAGAAATCCAGAAAATTGAATATTCTGGATTATTTGTAAGGGTTGGCAGGTATGTGTACAATGTATGTCTTCTTCACATCTAATCAATCAACATCATTTTGTAAGTATCTTTACAACTATATATATATACCGATACATTATTATACTTGGCTTTTTCTAACTTTTCTTGATCTATTATATACATACCGTCTCTTCCATCATTCTCAGACTTCACTTCCACTAAGTAGCGGAAGTAATCTCCCTTCATCTTCAGGTAGAAAACATTAGCCTCGAGTATCGGAGTATCCTCAGTGCTTATAGAATTGGGTATGAGAAACTTGTCCAGCAATTCCTACAAAGTAACAAACATATTTGTAGAGAAATGTTGGTACATGTAAAGGTACACAGTGTGTACCAGAGTAAAAATGAAACCAGATTTCATGCAGTGAAAAAAATACACGGGGGCTCGGGGCAAATTAGCCCCCCAAATTCATAAAAGAGCTCAAAATTTTTGCATAGAGCTCAATGCAAAACGAATTAAAGAGTGTTATTTTCATGCGAGCAAGCTTGAAAAGTAGCCCCCAAAATTTTGTAAGTATTTTTTTCCTGATTTCATGGCAGAAATTTCCTATCACAATGCATACTGTAAGTTCCTTGATGAAAGGTTGACTTCTCTTCTTTTATTTGATGCATAGCTTATTATTCATCATTTACGCATGAGTGGATTCAAACAATGGACAGTGATGCTACCATAATTTCATTTGAATGCAGAGAGCTAGGCAGAGGTCATTAGTGCTCGGTTGGGATTTGAACCCTCAACCCTTGGATTGAGAGTCAAGTGAATGAACCACTATACCACGGCACCTCCATATAACAGGTACAAAACTTACCAACTGATTTAATGACATAGATCTGTGTATTGTGATAATAAATACATGTACTTAGGAAATTGGTAATTCTGAGTCAAATTACCCTTTTGTCAGCCTTTTTGATATGCCGGAGCTGGCAAAACTCTTCTTCTTTTGTTTGTTCACTCTCTCTCTCTCTCTCTCTCTCTCTCTCTCTATATATATATATATTATATATATACATGTATATATATATATATTTCTCTCTCAGTCAGTCTCTCTGTATATCCACCTCTCTCTCTGTTTCTCTGTCTCTCTCTCTCTCTCTGTGTCTCTATCTCTCTCTCTATCTCTCTCTCTCTCTCTATCTCTCTCTCTCTTTCTCTCTCACTCAGTCTGTCTGTTTCTGCCTGTTTCTCTCTCTCTCTCTCTCTGGTACCATAATTGGCATTGAAACTGAAAGTTAACAGACCATACACACTGATTAAGTGACTGTCGTATTTTGATGTACAGGAAATGGTGTGACCTTCTTAAGTAGTTAGAGTATTACAGTACATGTACGTAGCACTTGCCATTTACGTTCATTTTCATTTGTACTGAGCAAAAGACAAGATCACATATGCGGATGATTTCATTTTACTTTATATAGAAATATGATCTATCTGCACTCGAGGTTGACACACTAGCTGGCTATTACCGGGGGTAATAATAAATGCAGGATTAATTCTCAGGAAATGAGGTATTACTATAATTAGTCAAGTGGCTACCTTGGGTAAATATGGTATTGCACATGCATATGACCATACATGTTAAAGGGAAGTTGAGTTCTGTTGCAGAGGGCGCTACACTAAATAATTTTTTGTGAGATAATGAAAAACTGAGTGTCAAATTTGAAAGAACATAATATTTAAATGACAAAATCATCTTTGTTTGATCAAAATCGGTTCAGAGATGGCTGAAATATAACGATTTCTAATACTTGTGTACCACCAAAAATATTAGATATTTTAAAAAATTTGAAAAAAACATTGAAAAAAGCGAAATACAAAATGTAACACCTTTTACGTCGTATTTCAGCCAATGCCAATGTTGGCTTTTTTTGTTGGCACTTTCGTGTTGCTTATATTACCTACAATTAGCCGGCTCATGTATTGTTATTTTTAATCAAATAATTAATTAACGGTCACCGTGTTTTTTTTTTTTAAGTGGAGCTGAATTAGTATGATCGTATTGGCTAAATTTCACACATTTTGGGGTCTAAAATTACCTTCATACCAATTTTAGGTTCTAAAAGGGGATAAGAGCAATAACCATGCACTTTGAAGGCATTTGTGGTCTGAAAACAGAACTCAAATATCCCTTTAAAGGGAGTGTGTCATGGCAAATACTGGTCAACGCCGTCTACATCTTCTTTTGGACAATTGCACGTAAACGAATGGACTTGATTAACTGGGTCAGCGCACGTTGAACTGGGTCAGTGCGTGCTAGCGTTGCCGAAATAGACCAAAGTTCTCCTCGACCTTCGGTTTCGCATATGTTGCACACACGCGAATGCTGCGGTCGCGTCGTCCGTAGTTGTACCCGATTGGCCCCGGGGAGGGCCCCGGGGAGGGCCATGGGCATGGGAAAGACACAGTCTCTTAGGGGCAATTCCACGGTAACGGAAGGACACTCAGACAAGATTTTTGAACTTCAGGTTCATACTAAAAGAACTGTTTTATTAGTATAAGATGTGAAACAGTACAGATATAATACCTATATAAGTGCCTTTAATTCTCCCCAAAAAAATTGTCATTATAGTTAAGTAGTTTAAGAATGTGCATATTAATTATCTCGGTAACGGAAGGACATAAAAATGGACATGGTATTTCCAGTTAATTAGTGTTTATCCAAACTTTGTGAAGTTGATGAAGCTTTCCACTTGACTGAAACACATTTTGTTCCCCATAGTTTAATACATACTAATAAAACATTTCTTTTAGTATGAACCTGAAGTTCAAAAATCTTGTCTGAGTGTCCTTCCGTTACCGTGGAATTGCCCTTAGGCGTACATGTACCCAACACAAGCTTTAGGATCTTCTGCCCCATTCTATGTATCATACTATGGACCTACTCCATCCAAGATCATACTATAAGCATAACATATTGCTTCTCATAATCATACTCTATAATGTACAAGAAAGACTGAGAGAAGGGTTAGTTGAATTTTCATATTTTGACTAAGTTTGATAGATTTGAATAAATGCACTATGGTCGGGAACATGTATTTACAAGTGCAGAACCCCAGAAAGGGCAGTAACAACCTAAAATTAATTTAGGTTAGGTTAGGTATTTTTGATGGTAGAAATTAAACAAATTTTATGAAGACCATGGTCATATTTTGCTCTTGTGAGAATATCTGATACCGGAATAAACACGAAAGCTATCAACCGTCTACCTCAACTTCAAGAGATGATGATGTACGTATATGTAGCATCAAATAGGTGGCCCCCTCCTCATAACCATAGCACCCCTTTTCAGGGTTGGCATATTTCCCGCTTCGGAGGCTTATTTCCCGGACGCCGTGAAATAAGCGGTATTTACCAGTATTTACCGCTTTTTACCGGTATTTACCACTTTTTACCGGTATTTACCACTTTTTACCGGTATTTACCACTTTTTACCGGGAAATACCGGGAAATATGTTTTTCCACTCACTTGTTCATAGGGATTGTCCAATTTTGAACATAATAACAATGGTGGTGAGTATGGTTGCTCTTAAGTGTACTATTTGTGTGTGTGTGTGTGTGTGTGTGTTTGTTTGTGTGTTTGTCTATGTCTGTAATTATGTAATGCTGGAAAAAAAATACAGGAAAAAGATACCAAATATACACCTAATCTAGATTTGATGTTCTTCATTGAAGGGAACCAAAACCTTCATACTAAGTTACTTTTATTGCAAAGTTTAAGGTATTTGAATAAAATCGGGCAAGGAATAAGGAAGTTAAAGCTTCTTGAAATGACTAGTCACTAGAGGGCGATATTCAATTTGATGACATCATTTGTGGACAACTCTCCATGCCTTTTGTACATCAAATTTCACAATTCTTTCGTTTTTTTTCCTATTTATTTGTGTTCTTGATCGGATTTCATAACATGGATCGACATCCATGTTGAAGGAAAAACTGTGATAACGCCATTATGAACGTGTAGATGGCGCACAGTTTTTCCTTCATTATCATTTTGCCTTCGGCGTAGACTAGAAGGGACGAGATTGACGGCAGCGAGAACGGCTTGCAAGATTTTCAACATGGATGTCGATTTTGACCCATAATTTCCTTAAAAGGGACCATTAAACAGATTATTTCAATCAAGTTAGTAAGTGGAACCAATGTATTATAGCCTAGGCCTAATTTAAAATTGGATATGCACGAGGTAAAATGACATTTTGGGGGCATAACAATACGGCCGTGGCAAGTTTGTCATGTTTGTGGGAGGGGCCTAACGGCTAAAATCTAGCCGTGATATCTTCAACATACGATGGCATAGGCGGTCATTCAGTCTCTATAACCGGAGGTCTAGTGGAGCCAGACGTAGTCTCAGTGGAACAACCGACGATTATAGAGACTGAAGCTTTCGGTCTAGCAAGTTACCAGCCTGAGCTAGATCTAGACTAGGCTCATATTTTGCGTTTGAGCCGTTGAAGTAATTTTTGTCCGAAGCTTGGCAACGTCCGAAGTTTGGCGGTCTTACTCTAACCACCTTTCCTCGGCGATCTGAATGTAGATTATAGTTTTATACGCTATCTTTCTTCAGCTTCGCTTCCGAAAGATAGCTGTCTACATCCAGATCGCCTCGGAAGTGATGGTGATAATATTAGTTTGTCCCATCACCTTCACCAACAGCTCTTTTTGAGCCGAGGTAGCCCGACTCCATTTATACTTACCAAAACCTGATCGCAGATAGCATGAAGCTCCTTCTCTATCTTCTCCCTGTATTCCGCGGCCCTGCCTTTAAACTCTTCCTCCGACTTCTGCTCCAGACTACTCACAATCCTCCATGACGAGCGTCTCGCTCCGACAACATTCTTGTATGCAACGGAAAGCAGGTTTCGTTCGTCCGACGCTAAATGATCGCCCATCTCCGTCACTTTCTTCATTGCTCGCACCATATCATCATACCTCTCAGCTTGCTCAAGTAGCCTGGCCAATTCGACAAGGGTAACCCGATCCGTCGTGGCTGCTATCAAATCAGACATGGCGAAGAATCTTTCAGAATCTGTGGAACAGTTTTAAATTATAAGTTGATTCTTTCAGTAGTAAGGTACAGATCTGTATCAGGATATAATAACCACACGCGAAATATAACGTACGACGTTATTTACACATACCGTTTGTATACGTTCGCATTTACGGTACGTTCGTACGCGCGCGCACTAAGTACATGTCAACGAACTTATTACTTGAAATTCGATGGTATGTGCATGTACGTCGCTCGAGAATATCGTTGAATAGCTACAGCCCCATAACTGAAAATTACAATAGGCAAATTATTCCGCTTTCCATTGAAGCGTGTCCTGTATTGAAGCTAGCTGTTCATTTGTACTTGTACAGTGATGTAGTTTAAATATAATCATACTGGACATCATAACTACACAGTCAAAGTAAATATTAGCAGAGAGATGAATAAGGAAAATAATGGAGTGTTCAAATACCAGGCCGGTTTGGCAATTTCCCGGGAGATCAGTACTGGTATTCCCCTAGTATTTCCAGGGGGGGGGGGGGGGGGGGGGGGGGGGGGGGGGGGGGCGTGGTTCCGGGAGCTAGGAGAATACTGGGAAATATCAGGAAATAATTATAGTAATATTGGATAGCTTAATTGAGTGTGATACATATTGTACGAGTCGAATTAGTAGACGGGTCGAATTCATAGAGAACGAGAGCAAGATATTCTTATTCTTGTATCACACGAAAACAAAGACATACAAATTATTATTATTATCCATATATGCAGGGGCGTACGCAGGGGGGGGGGGTTGGGGGTTCAAACTCCCCCCCCCCCCTTTGGTATTTTTATGTGTGTAAACCCCCCTAAAAAAACTTTAAAAAAAACCCCTTTGTTTTTTTGTTTTTTGTTTTTTAATTTAAAAAAAAAAAAAAAAAAAAGTATGCCCATTGCTAACGTAAAGTGACCTTACCCCCCCCCCCCCCCCAACGAAAAAAAATGTCAAATTTTCAAATGCGAGACCAAAAAAAAAAAAAAGTGTCCGCTTACAAAATCCGCATCACCCCCCCCCCCCCCCAAAAAAGTATTTATGATCAGGTAGAGCGTAGCATGAATTGGCGTGGGGTCTAGGGGCAAAGGACCGGCGGGGGTCAAGGGGCGGACCCCCCGGAAGCTAATCTTAGGGGGTATGGGCATTTAATTACGGTCAGATGAACATTATTTTGATACCTTATTCATGACACTGGCAGGTCACTAATTGGCGTGGGGTCCAGGGCTCAGGGATTTTAGGCATTTTATAACGGTCAGATAAGCAATCAGGGGGCGCCTTGGGCCCCCTGGTGTTGAACTTTATTAGACCCCTTTTTTTACCTTGATCGATTACATGTATGTGCCCCATATGGAAACGTTTGCTTTGATTTGTCTCATAAAAGAAGTGATCACAAACTGACTCCCACACGGTGTTGAGTGCTCAGGGGTCTCGGGCCACTGGCTTCACCGGGCAGGTAGTTCCATTATGTGAATGGGTAAATTAACTATTACAAAATGAGGGACACATTACATTGTACAATAGGGACACACATTGTTTTTATTGTGCAGAACATACTCTTTTATTGACTTACTTATTGAATGAATCTATAAAAACAAAATGCATTTTGTATTCTAACAATTGGAGTATACAGAATAATAACAGGTGAATGAAATGCATAAATACCACCCCTGGGAAGGAAGCATTCATAAATTTGAATACATAGTTGATAAACGACTCCGAATGAAATTATAAAACCAAAATGTAATTTGCGTTCTGGCAATTGGAGTACAAAGAATGATGGCAGGTGAATGAAATGTTTCAACAACACAAACACCTGGGAAGGAAGCATCCATACATTTGAATAATTTAGTTGATAAACGATTCCGCATGTGGACGTTTGGTGGAGCAGAAAGCAGTGGATTCTTAACAACACGAACCCATTTAACAGAATGTCGGAACGTAAATTAAATTTGGCGCGGTTGGAAAATGCATCTTTCTACCCTGCGACTTTAATGGTACGATCCAGTAAATTAAAACAGTAAAATGGCTCTTATTTTAAAATTACTCATTAAATAAAACACAAAACTTCATTGATATCTGACAAAATATGTTATATCTTACTAATAATTCAAAAATATGTATAAACATTGTGAAAGTGTAGCATTTTACGATAAAAGACACCGATTGAGAGAAGACGACGTCATTGGAACCTGTTGATGTGCGCTTGCATCAGGGAATTCAAGGTCAAAAGGTCAATTCAGACGCTAATAAGTTATTGGTCAAGCCTTTTTGTTTCCTTTATTCCGACAAAATTATGCAATCAATCAAAACATGTTTATTAACAGAAGAAAGCTAACGATTAGTATTTTCATTAACCGCTTGCCCCAAAGTCGCTTGACCACAGTGAAACGAGTGAGAGCCTGCGAGAGCGGCCAAAGTATGATTGAAACTCGCTTTTTTGCTCTTCTCCAACGCAAAAAGAGACGACATTGTGCTGGATAAATCTATTTTTTCCGACAAAAGTATAGAAAATTTGCATATGGTCTTTTTATATTATTCTTTATGAAATGTTATCCGAGTGACTCCCGGGCGCCCCAATGCTGGAAAGAAACGCACATTTTAGAAAACTTCACTTTTTCATGGAAAAATGCTTATTTGTTCTATGCACGCAAGTCAGATTGAGCGGATGATACAACGTTTCCATATGCCCCCCCCCCCCAAAAAAAACATCGAACTCTGGCTACGTGCCTGGTTAAGTAACCAGATGAGTTGAATATCTTCTAACAATATGGCGTTTTTCTATGCACATCACATCACTTGGCAGCCTAAGGGGGGGGGGGGGGGGGTTTCGGAGAAAACCCTTTTGGGAACCCCCCCCCCCGCCCTTTGTTTTGTTTTTATTTATTTAAAAAAATTATGGTAATGGGTTGATCCCCAAAAGCTGACCTAACCCCCCCCCCCCTCCCCCCTCACCCCCCCCCCCCCCCCCCCCCCCCCCCCCGCCAACGAAACGATAATACGATTGGCCTAATTTAGAAATTTTGGGACACAAACTTTTTAGACCCCTCCTCAGGACGTCAATCAATTACATGTCTGTGCCCCCCTCCCTCCCCCTCCCCCCTCCTCCCAAACATCAAACTCAGGCTACGACCCTGTCAGAGGGCAGAGCATCCGGAAGTTCAGGGGTTATAGGCATATAATTACGGTCAGATGAGCATATTTTAAAACCTTATTTGTGACACTGGCAGGTCACTAATTGGCGTGAGGTCCAGGGGCGGAGCCCTCGGAAGCTCAGGGGGTTTTAAGGCATTAAATAACGGTCAGATGAGTATCCAGTGGCCCGCCATGGCGCCTTTGGTTATAGGTTCAGGGGGTTTTATGCATTTAATTACGGTCAGATGAGCATTCTTTTGATACCTTATTTGTGACACTGGCAGGACACATTGGTGTAAGGTCCAGGGGGCGTAGCCTCCCGAAGCATAGTGGTTCTAGGCATTAAATTACCGTCACACGAGCATCCAGGGGCCCGCCTTAGGGCCCTAGGTTTAATCCAGGGGGCATAGCCCTCGTAAGCTCAGGGGTTTTCGGCATTTAATGACGGTCAGATGAGCATATTTTGATACCTCATTGTTTTGTGACACTGGCAGGTCACTATTCTTTCTTTCTCTCTCACTTTCTTTCTATTTCTCTTTAATATACTTTTTCTAAAGAAGTGGGAGGGGAAGCTCGAGGCCCCCTAGCTCCGCCGTTCCGCGGGCCCTGACATGATTGTAAACCTTTAATTAAGCATATTTTCGCCTGACGGTAATTTTAGGAATTTTTCATTTTCCAAGGAACGCATGAAATAGTATAATTTACTAAAAAGTGAGGAAAAATCTCTGAAAATTATGTCATTTCAACAACATATATGTAAATCACCGGTATCGAAATAGAAATAAACCACATTTGAATTTTATTGGGGGGCACCCCTACATCCATCCGTACGCCAGTGCATCCCCCTCGATTTACACCTATTTTTTTATTTATTTATTTTTTTTTTTTTTTGGGGGGGGAATCACATCTGATCTCCCCTACCTTACTTCTTTCTCTGTTTTTCTTTCCTTTTCTCTCTTTTTCCCCTTTCCCTTCCCTTCCTTCTCTCTCTCTTTTGAGTTTGATGGGGGGGGGGGGGGGAGGCAAGGGCCTTTCGGCCCCCGATCCACACATTGTTGGCGGGATTAATCACAACTGATCTACCCTTCTTTTCACCCTTTTCTTTCTTCTTCCTCTTTTTGTTCAGTTTTAACTCTCCTCGTCCCCTTTCCCTTCCTTCTCTCTATTTTTTGTCGGAAGAGGCAAGGGCCGTTTGCCCTCCCCCTCCGATCCCCAACTTGTTGGCGAGAAAATTGCAACTGATATCTCCCTCCTTTTCTTCTCTTCTCCCTCTTTATTTACTTTTTTCTTTCCCTATCCTTCCTTCTCTCTTATTTTGATGGGGGGGGGGGGGGGGGAGGCAACAGCCTGGGAGGCAAGGCCCTTTCGTCGTTCCCCCCCCCCCCCTCCTCCCGATCCCCTACTTTTTCCCCCTCTTCTTTCGCTCCCTCGCTCTTTTTTTTTGCCGGGGGGGGGGGGGGCAGGGTCCGCCCCCCCCCCCCCCCCCCCTGGATCCGCGCCTGTTATCGATCATCCGCTCAATCTGCCTTGCGTGCATAGAACAAAATAATAGGCATTTTTGGATGAACTGAAAGTGAAGTTTTCTTTAAAAAAAGTGCGTCTTTTCCGGGGTGCCTGACTCGGAGTCACTTGCATTTGGGTAACCTTTCAAAAAGTATAATAACACCAATAATATGGCACATTCTCCGTGCTTTTGTCGGATTTGTTTAGTAATCCAGCACAATGTCGTCTCATTTTGTGTCCAAATTAAGTCAAGGAGCAAAATAGCGAGTTTGGCCGCTTTCGCCTGGTCAGGCGGCTTTGCATGGGATGAGCGACTGAATGAATACAGCCTACTAATTGTCAGCTTTCTTCTGGTATTATTATTGTACTTGTTTTGATTGATTGTATATTTAATTGTTGTTGTCGGAATTTACCTATTCACGTAATGGAACTACGGCCTGCCCGATGAAGCCAGTGACCCGTGACCTCGTCACTCGATCCACACTGTGTGGGAGTTAGTGTGTAGTCAACTTCTATTTAATGAGACAAATCCAAGCA